TACTAAATTTAATTCTACTTAGGATTGCACACCCATTTTTTGCAATTTAATAGTTTTCACCTGTGGCCACAACTCTCTACCCCCTATTATTTTATTTAGAGTTCTCCACCCAGTGCCCATGAGTGGGAGCACAGGGAGGACTATGACCTCCCCCTGTTATTTTATATGCCCCATGCCCAACATTTAGCAGATATGCCCCCACCTTTCTTATAGTAATATGATCGTCTGATTGACCCCATTGGATTTTTATTAATGAATTTTTTATTTTTTAACCCTCGGTCAGGCGCAACTGTTCCAACAGGCACAGCCAATGTTGTTTTGTCCTACCAATGTGAGCGCTCGTTACCGCCCGGCCGCCTCAGTAGCTTGTTGTTTTTACATTCTGCAGCGACCTATAATGCGCAGTACGCATTTGAACGTCGTGTGTGCGAGTCGCAGCTCTTTGTGTCTCTTAGGCACATTGCGCCCGATTGCAGTATAACCATTATATGTCTATAATTACATTGGTAAGTAATTTTTCTAATTAATTCAAGCATATTAATGCCATACCTGATTGTTTTTCAATGTTATAATGCTCAACTCCATAATGAGGCACGATGTTCCTCTCATTTTCCATTTCAGTAATCCGAATGATGTAGCACATATGATGAAAATGCTAGAGGATGAATCAGATAATGAAAATATTTTTGAAGATTCAGATGAAAGCGACGATAGCGTGACTGAAGATAACATGGAAGCACGCATTGAGAGTTCTGAATCAGAACAAAACGATGAAGAATTCAGTGATGACGACAGCACAGATAACGCTTCATATTTTCTCGGAAAAGACAAGTCCAGTAAATGGTATTGAGATATTCCCAACAAGAAACATCGCGCCACGTCTCATAATTAGTTGAAGCAGTTTCCAGGTGTTATAGGCCCTGTTCCAGTTGACTGTTGGAAATACTTATTCACTGGAGATATTCTGGATATCATTGTAAAATATACTAACCAATATATAAATATTATCAAAAATAAATATGGACGCAAACGAGACACCAAACTTACTGATGACATTGAAATAAAAGCATCCATAAGTATATTATATTTGGCTGGAGCTTATAGAGCCCTGGATTTAATGGAAGAACTGAAAGAGATGAGACTTTCCTACGTTGGCACAGTAAAGAAAAACAAAAGCTGCCACCTGAATTTGTCAAAACGAAATCTAGGGAAGTGTATTCAAGTAGCTTTGGATTCAATCGTGGTACTACATTAGTATTATATATACCAAAGAAGAACAAAACTGTTATCCTTGTGTCCAGCTTTCATCATGATAAATTTCTTGATTCAGAAATAAGCAAGAAAAAGAAACCATTGATAATTACATTGTACAATTCCAAAAAGGGAGGAGTAGACAATGTTGACAAAATGTGTGCTACATTCAGCGTTGCAAGGAATATAAAACGTTGGCCTATGAATGTATTCTTCACCATGTTGAATGTTGCTGGCATAAATTCGCAGATAATTTATCTGGGAAATGATTTTAAACCAATAAAGAGGCATCTATTTCTGAAGCAGCTTTCTCACGAACTTACGTTAGATGAACTTCAAAGACGAAGTGAAAAAACAATCGGCATTCCGCTGCATATTCGATCAAAACTGAAATGATTTCATAATTGTGAAAATGTAGAAGAAGATAAAGAGGAAACTTTGGAAACGCCTAGCAAGAGGAGAAGGTGCATTACATGCACTACGGATAGCGGACGACGTTGCTTATCAAGATGTGAGTGCAGCAAGTGTAAACGTGCATTATGTATGGAACATGCTACTTTTTATTGTAATAAATGCGCAGAAATTGCTTTTGCCAATGTTGTAGAGCAAATGGAATAATAAACATGTTTTTATTTGAGTAAAAAGTTTGTTTTTGTAAAAGTGGCCTATTACGCACAATGCGCCCGATCCTGTTCTTACTCACATTGCGCCTGGTCGAGGGTTAAAAAAATTTAATATGGCGGCTGGCCAGCATTGCCACAGGTTTTAACGATTTGCTCTCTGACTGCTAACGCACATCTGTACATTGTAAATCCTATATTTTGCATACAATTTGGATGCAAGAGCACTGATTTTAATCTGGGCACTGAATGCATCTGGGTGATAATTCCAACCATATTTGGCTTTAGTAAATATGAGAATTGTCAATTGGAATTCTGTCATTTTCACCCGATTATGCCCATCTGGACAAAATCCAGTGTTTAGTAAATAACCCTGCTAGACAATTTTTCTTCAATGAACAATGAACTTCGCTAATAGTTGGTATGGTAGTTGACCTCCAGTGTTGGGGGATTGCAGAGGCTGCAGATATGAGTAGGCGGCCTAATATAGTTGTCTTATTTTTTGACAAGTAATCAAGGAATTTCTTAAATATACACAGTTCCGGTGATAGGGGTACAATATGGTCGATTATAGAAATAGCCAGTTGATGAACTTCCTTACAAAATTTGTCTAGTTTGGGACAGGACCAAAAATACGATGGAGTGTGCCTACCTGACCATATTCCCTCCAACATGCATTAGTATTTGACAATTTTAGTTTAAACAATCTAGATGGAGTTAAATACCATCTGTAAATTAATTTGAAATGATCAATACATCGTGTAATCCCTTTCAATGACATTAGAAATTCGAGCCATTCCTCGACTGTATATACCCCACCTAATTCACTCTCCTACTTCGACATATACTCCTACTTAGGACCTGTCTCGCCAGCCAAAACGGCATAACACAAGGAGATGGTGCATTTTCTGTCAGGATCTGAAAGATATAGTTTTTCCAAATTTGATATATCCAATTTGTTTTATTTCCAAATTTGATATAACCTTGATGTCTTTTTAATATGGTTTAATATACTTTGCAATGTGTTTTAGGTTTTCCATGTAATGTCATATAGTCAACATGCATTTTCCTTTATTTGGCAAGAGGCTTAGATTTCGAGGGTTTCTGTCCACCGTTAAATAGTAGCAACTGGATTGGAAACTAGTCACTGTGTAGTAGTTAGCGGCCTACATAGAGAATAATGGGAGTCATTAGCTGCAACTCTGTAACTGAATTTAAGAAGACGCAGCCGGTAACTGCTTGTCGCTACTGGTGAAATTTTGCAGTCGGTAAAAAGTAGCTATTCACTAACAGTAGCAAGAGGTGCTTCGGTGAGTAGCTGGTGGTCAGTAAAAAGCATCTTCAACATTAGAAATGAGCCGTGCTTCAGTGAATACAATTATTTTTTAATAAATACTGTCCTTTAATATTTAACAACAGTCAAACAGAATGAATGAATTGCAAATGCATAATCACGATATGCTCATAACCTCACAACAAAATCTGTTTTTACACCCACCTGTAAGAAAATGTCCCCTGATTTTGATCCAAAAATCTGGTCTGCTTGTGCTACAGTCTGTCCTGGTATAAATTTATATTAATATAATGAAGAAAAATTGGCTATTCTAATCTAATTACATTTTCAACATATGACACACTTTTAATATTATCTGTTTTCTACCACAACTTTAAATTCATATTTTAATTAAATAAAGAGCAGAACAGAAAGCGTGTGGGAGGCATTGAATTAAATATTATTCACCATCCTATGTATACAGGCTGCACACATGTTACAGATAGATAGATAGATATAGATAGATAGAAAGATAGTGCTATATTCCTGAATTATAGCATTATCCACATCCAATGTATTCACTAAAATGTAACCTCTAACAACTGTATAAAATTGATCTACCAAGAAAGTCAGATATACAGACAGACAGACATAAACAGATCGATAGATAGATAGATAGATAGATAGATATGGACATACAGATAGATAGATAGATATGGACATACAGATAGATAGATAGATATGGACATATAGATAGATAGATAGAGAGAGAGAGATAGAGAGAGAGAGATAGAGAGAGAGATAGAGAGATAGGTAAATAGATAGATATGGACAGATACATAGATAGATAGACATACAGATAGAAAGATAGATAGATATGGACGGACAGACATATAGATATGGACGGACAGATAGATAGATAGATAGATAGATATGGACATAAAGATAGATAGATGGATAGATAGATAGATAGATAGATAGATAGGTAAATAGATAGATATGGACAGATACATAGATAGATAGAGACATACAGATAGAAAGATAGATAGATATGGACGGACAGACAGAAAGATATGGACGGACAGATAGATAGATAGATAGATATGGACGAACAGACAAACAGACAGGAAGACAGAGAGAAGACACTAGCGTGACCAAGGTGAAGAAGATCAAAACAGCTGTTAAATACTACATTTCCATCTTTTCCTTCAAATTAAAGGAACACTCCAAGCACCACCTAAGCCTCTACAGAACACCATAGAACAAGGGTAGGCAACCTATGGCACGTGTGCCATACAAGGCACTCAAGGTGCCTAGATAGATATATAGATAGATAGATATGGACATATAGATAGATAGAGAGAGAGAGAGAGAGAGAGATAGGTAAATAGATAGATATGGACAGATACATAGATAGATAGAGACATACAGATAGAAAGATAGATAGATATGGACGGACAGACAGATAGATATGGACGGACAGATAGATAGATAGATATGGACATACAGATAGATAGATAGATAGATAGATATGGACATACAGATAGATAGATAGATATGGATAGATAGATAGATAGATAGATAGATAGATAGGTAAATAGATAGATATGTACAGCTACATAGATAGATAGAGACATACAGATAGAAAGATAGATAGATATGGACGGACAGACAGATAGATATGGACGGACAGATAGATAGATAGATAGATATGGACGGACAGACAAACAGACAGGAAGACTGAGAGAAGACACTAGCGTGACCAAGGTGAAGAAGATCAAAACAGTTGTTAAATACTACATTTCCATCTTTTCCTTCAAATTAAAGGAACACTCCAAGCACCACCTAAGCCTCTACAGAACACCATAGAACAAGGGTAGGCAACCTATGGAACGTGTGCCATACAAGGCACTCAAGGTGCCTTTGCACGGCACTCAAGGCTGCTAGAGCCAAGCACGCTCTGGCCTATCAGGAGTCCCAGTGAAACTTCAGATTTCTGCAAATCCTCAATTTAGACATTGATCACTTCCTCCCAGCACCTGTGAATGGGAATTCACACTGTAGTAGAGCAGCCCACAGCTGGTGTTGCAGCTCCTGTCTTTGACCTGTACCCTGGCCAGCCCGGTCCCCACTGGAACCCAGGGAAGCCACCCACACTGCTAGATATACACTGAAATGCAGAATAACCCTCCCCTCATACAAATTATATGAACAGCTCACACACAATCCCCACAAACTCAACACCACTAACAATCCACATGCATGCACACAACCCCACAAGCAGCCTCTCACATGCAATACCCCAAACAGCCCCACACATACACACACTACCAAACACACAATGTGACATATCCATCCACACACACAATTCCCCAAGCAGCCCCCATACACAGCCCACATTCATATGTATCCTACACAATACCATAAACTACTCATGAACAAACACAATATAATAGCTCATATACGCACAAATACAACGATACAAAGCAACCGCAGTATAAATAACACAAGCAGATACGGCAACATACACACCTGAATTTAAAAAAAAGAATCGCTAAAAGCTTGCCTGCCCCTACCATAGAAGTTATGGTGCCCATAACTATTGATTAGATGAGGGGTTGGATTACCAAATCAGCAATAAGAAGCATATGAATACACTATAATTATGGACAGCGTTGGATAACCATGTATTAATATCTGAAATTTACAGAATTGCAAGATTAGGAGTTTATAGGTTGCTAGAATAAAAGAAAAAATTATTCATGGAGTGAAATGAATTTGGCAGGAATGGAGAGAGACAGGGCTTTTTGATGTTCAGTTTTGAAGGTCACATTCTGAGTACAGAACCCTATATATTAAGTAAATTTTTTAATTCTGAAGATGTGTATTTTGGCACTTGCACAAGGACTTGTTTTATAAATAGTGTGCTCGTATACATAGTGAATTGTCAATTCATTCAATACATTGTACAACTGATTAATATCACCGTGGCCAGCATTTAAACAAAGTTTGCAGGTATGGGGTCCAGTTAGACTAGTTGCATATTTTGAGGTAAATCACAGTCTATGAATTGATCATTTTCAGCATAATGTGCCAATGAGCTGTTAGCAATGTCAAAGAGACCACAATCTCACGTTTCCAAACTCTGACCATTATTGGTTCTGTGGAAAAATGCCCAAAACTGCACAAAACAATCAAACATAAGTAATCACAATCACAAAAAGAAGAGTGGTTGGCACATTAATGGAATTTTTGGACACTTACCAAACTTAACACGTAAAAGACTTTCAAAAACAACTGAAAATACTATTCTAACTATTTCCATTAACAAATATCTCATAAAATATCAAAGTGTTAATTAAGGCATGAGTAGCACACACCTCATCTACCTTCCCTATTATGCTTCAAAGCAAAATCATAAAAACGTATCCTAATAATGCCTTATGAATGATTTAACAGAAATAAAGTAGAAATAATCACAGTGAGAACAAAATAACAAAGCAAAATTGATAACAAAATAAATACACATATACCCTATACCATAAAAGTCCGAACTGAATCCGTTTAAAGAAACATACGTGTTAAACTTATATATGTGTGTATATATATATATATATATATATTGTACATTGTGTTATTTATTTTTTTAATATTGTATCCTAATGATGCAATGTTTTGTGGACTCAGGACATACTTGAAAACGAGAGAAATCTCAATATATCCTTTCTGGTAAAATATTTTATAAATATCAGAGTCGATTTGGAATATAAAAGGTTTAATGACATCTACGCCGCTTTTCACTGCATTAGAACGGGGTTCAAATGGGCAGGTAAGATCTTTCCAAGATGGATCTAATTTTTGTAAACTACTGATCTCGAACTCATGTGATTAATGATGACGGCATTTTTGAATTGTGGTCTGTTTTAAAAAACAATCCTGCAAAACAAGGACAGAAGGTGCCTGTAGTAAGTGTGTTAAAAATTGATAAGCTTAGAGTCATGTCTACAAATGCTCGCTGTTCAGGGAATAAGATCCATGAACTTGTGGCAATAATGGCAACTGAAGTGTAGATTTAGTCGCTGTTACTGATACATGGTACAATGAGAAAAATGACTGGAACATAGCAATACCAGGGTACTCTTCATATAGAAAAGACAGGGAAGGCAAGAAAGGGGAGGGGTGGCCCTGTATGTGAAGGATAGCATAAAATCTAACCTAATAAAAGTTAGTGAGGCAAACATAGAGTCCATTTGGGTTATGTTAGAATTTGGTAATCACACAGTAACTCGTGTAGGTGTGATTTATAGGCCCCCATGACAAATTGAAGATTTAGATAATCTACTAGTTGAGTAAATAGCTAAAATGACAATGAAGGGGGAAGTTATCATCATGGGTGACTTTAATCTTCCTGATGTGAATTGGAAAACAAAAATAGCTGCTTGTGTCAGGAGCACACATATTCTAAACTCCCTACTGGAATTGTCTCTAAAACAAGTCATTGAGGAGCCAACTCGTAAAGAGGTCATACTAGATTTAGTGTTAACAAATGGAGATTTGGTATCAGATATTACTGTAGGTGAAAGTTTAGGATCCAGTGATCATCAGTCAGTGTGGTTTAATATAAGAACAGTGACTGAGTCACACCACACAAAAACAAAAGTTTTAGACTTTAGAAAAACAGACTTTTCTAAAATTAGAATATGTATAAAGGAGTCATTATCAGACTGGAGCAATTTAAATGGAGTACAAGAGAAATGGGATTATTTAAAAGTTGCACTACTGAAGGCAACAGAAAATTGCATTAGGCTTGTCAGTAAAAGCAAAAAATTAAAGAAACCACTGTGGTACTTTGCAGATGTGGCCAAAATAGTAAAAAACAAAAAGTTAGCATTTAGTAATTATAAAAAAACCCAGAGTGAGGAAGACAGAATGATCTATAAGATTAGGCAGAAAAAAAGGGGGAAAAAACTTTTTTTAGATACATAAATGAGAAAAGAAAAGTAAAACAAGGATTAGTTAGATTAAAAACAAAAGAAGGAAGGTATGTAGAAGAGGATAAAGGTCCAGCTGACTGCCTCAATTAATATTTTTGTTCTGTATTTACAGATGAAAATGAAGGAAAGGGACCTCAGTTAAGAAAAAGGATACATGAGTCATTTATTACACGTGAGTTTACAGAGGAAGAGGTTCTATTTCAACTGTCAAAAGTAAAGACAAATAAGTCAATGGGACCTGATGGAATACACCCAAAGCTATTAAAAGAGCTTAGTGGTGTACTAGCAAAACCATTAACAGATTTATTTAACCAATCATTGTTAACAGGAGTAGTCCCAGAAGATTGGAAGTTAGCGAATGTTGTGCCTATTCACAAGAAAGGTAATAGGGAGGCAACTATAGGCCAGTAAGCCTTACTTCAGTAGTGGGGAAAGTGATGGAAACCATGTTAAAGGATATGATTTTTGAACATCTAAAAATACATGGATTTCAAGATCAGAGACAACATGGGTTTACTTCAGGGAGATCATGCCAAACTAATCTTATTGATTTTTTTGATTGGGTAACTAAAATTATAGATCAGGGTGGTGCAGTAGACATTGCTTGCCCAGATTTTAGTAAGGCTTTTGACACTGTTGCACATACAGGGCCGGCGCGTCCATAAGGCGGCACAGGCGGCCGCCTTAGGGCGCACCAGCCCGGGGGCGAAAATGTCCGGGTGACCGGCAGGAGGGAAGCGCACAGCGCCCCTCTCCTGCCAGTCACTTCTTGTAGCGTGGCCGAGTGCCAACCTGCAGTGCCGCGGACTGTGTGGAGGGGGCGGGGATATGAACGTCATATCCCTGCTCCCTCTGTAGCACACAGTGCGGCTGGTGCCCAGCAGGGGCGGAGCTACCACCGGCCCCCTTTTTTGTCAGCATGGGAGGAAGTCCTCCCAAGAAGACTAGAGCAGCAGAAGACAGAGAGGAGGGGGGCTGGGCAGGACCAGCTCCTCCAACTCCCAACTACCTCAGGCAGCACTTTGGATCCCAGGTAAGCCACCCTCCTGAACCTGTTGGTCAGTGTGTCTGTGTGTGTATTCATGTCTGTCAGTGTGTGTGTGTATCTGTCTGTCAGTGTGTGTGTATCCATGTCTGTCAGTGTGTGTGTGTATCTGTCTGCCAGTGTGTGTGTATCCATGTCTGTCAGTGTGTGTGTGTATATGTCTGTCAGTGTGTGTGTATCCATGTCTGTCAGTGTGTGTGTGTATCTGTCTGTCAGTGTGTGTGTATCCATGTCTGTCAGTGTGTGTGTGTGTATCTGTCTGTCAGTGTGTGTGTATCCATGTCTGTCAGTGTGTGTGTATGTATATGTCTCTGTCCGTGTGTCTGTGTGTATCTAAATGTCTGTCAGTGTGTGTATGTCTGTCTGTTAGTGTATGTCTATCATTGTGTATGTCTATCATTGTGTATGTGTGTGTTTGTATATGTCTGTCAGTGTGTATATCTATGTCTATCAGTGTGTGTATCTATGTCTGTCAGTGTGTGTGTGTATGTAAATGTCTCTGTCCGTGTGTCTGTGTGTATCTAAATGTCTGTCAGTTTGTGTGTGTGTATCTGTCTGTCAGTGTGTGTGTATCCATGTCTGTCAGTGTGTGTGTGTGTATCTGTCTGTCAGTGTGTGTGTATCCATGTCTGTCAGTGTGTGTGTATGTATATGTCTCTGTCCGTGTGTCTGTGTGTATCTAAATGTCTGTCAGTGTGTGTATGTCTGTCTGTTAGTGTATGTCTATCATTGTGTATGTCTATCATTGTGTATGTGTGTGTTTGTATATGTCTGTCAGTGTGTGTATCTATGTCTGTCAGTGTGTGTATCCATGTCTGTCAGTGTGTGTGTGTGTATCTGTCTGTCAGTGTGTGTGTATCCATGTCTGTCAGTGTGTGTGTATGTATATGTCTCTGTCCGTGTGTCTGTGTGTATCTAAATGTCTGTCAGTGTGTGTATGTCTGTCTGTTAGTGTATGTCTATCATTGTGTATGTCTATCATTGTGTATGTCTATCATTGTGTATGTGTGTGTTTGTATATGTCTGTCAGTGTGTGTATCTATGTCTGTCAGTGTGTGTATCTATGTCTGTCAGTGTGTGTGTGTATGTAAATGTCTCTGTCCGTGTGTCTGTGTGTATCTAAATGTCTGTCAGTTTGTGTGTGTGTGTCTGTGTGTCTTTGTGTATGCCTATCATTGTGTATGTGTGTATCTGTATGTCTGTCAGCGTGTCTGTATGTCAGTGTGTGTTTATCTGTATGTCTGTCAGTGTTTGTGTGTATCTGTATATGTGTGTCTGTCTATCTGAATGTGTATCAGTTTGTGTATATGTATATCTGCATGTGTGTCAGTGTGTGTATCTTTGTGTATGTGTATCACAGTGTGTGCGTGTGTGGCAGTGTATGTGTATATGTGCATATATCTCAGCATTCAAACACCAACACTACACACAAATAAACACCTGCATGCAAACGTCAACACTACATACAAACACACCCCTGCATTCAAATGTCAACACTACATACAAACACACCTCTGTATCAGACACCAAAATTATATCTAAACACACACCTACGTTCAAAAACCAACACTACACATAAATGCATGCTTGCATTCAAATGCAAACACTACATACAAACACACCGCTACAATCATACAAACATACTCCATACAAACACATGCTTACAGTCAAACACACAAATACTGCTCCATGCTAAATACAATCCTGCAAGCATGGGGAATCGGTAGAGCCCCAGCTTTCAAAGCATTGTTGAAGTTGCACGACAGATGGGGATCTATCTTTTAGCCATCCTGTGTACATACACAGACCGTCATACAGAGACATACAATATGTATGTCTCTGTATGACTGTGTGTATGTATTCAAAAGGAATAAACGCAGGCAACACTCCAATAGTAAGGATGGTATATTTATTGATAGGTGAACCACCCCAAAGAAAGTGCGTCGTTTCGGCTCAGCAGAGCCTTATTGCATGAGCTGAAACATCACACTTTCTATGGGGTGGTTCACCTACCAATAAATATACCATCCTTACTATTGGAGTGTTGCCTGCGTTTATTCCTTTTGAAGACTTTACTGGTGGATCCAGCGATGTCCGCTTGACACGGAGCATCCACCACTGTTGATGGCCGGAGCATTTACACGGTATCAGTGTGCAGGGTTCTTTGTTTGTCTGTGTATGTATGTCTCTGTATGCCTATCTCTATGTTTCTTTATGTCTGTCTGTATTTCTGTGAGGGCCTGTGTCTGTATGAATGTATGTCTGTGTTTGTATGACAATGTACCTGTATGTGTAGATTGTATGACTGTGTTTGTTTGTGTGCCTTTTATGACTGTGTGTCTGTATATCTTTGTGACTGTGTGCCTGAAAAATTATGTCTGTGTGCTTGTATGGTTGTGTGTCTGTATGTTTGTGTATTTGTGCATGTATGTATTTTTGCCTGTATCTATGTCTATGTGGGAGAAAAGGAGAGATAGATAGGGGCTGGCGGGGGAAGTAAGAAATACATAAGAGGTGTTGTAGGAGACACACTAAAGGGGGGTGTAAGGCACAAAGGGGCCAAAGGGATAAGACATTCAAGAGAGTGGATATGCAACACTAATGGGGGTAAGAAATTCAAAAGGTGGCTACGAGACACAGAGGTGAAGATGCATTGTTTATTTTTTTAGGGGGGGGGCGTCAAAATGCATCTTCGCCTGTGTAGTCAAAAATCCTAGCACCGGCCCTGTGCACATAGAAGGCTTATCAATAAACTCCACTCTTTAAGTTTGGATTCCAATATTGTTGAATGGGTAAGGCAATGGCTGAGTGACAGGCAACAGAGGGTTGTAGTCAATGGAGTATCTTCGAAGCTTGGGCTTGTCACCAGTGAGGTACCTCAGGGATCTGTACTTGGACCCATTCTCTTTAATATTTTTATTAGTGATATTGCAGAAGGTGTTGATGGTAAGGTATGTCTTTTTGCTGATGATACTAAGATATGTAACAGGGTTGATGTTCCAGGAAGGATAAGCCAAATGGCAAGTGATTTAGGTAAACTAGAAAAATGGTCAGAATTGTGGCAACTGACATTTAATGTGGATAAGTGCAAGATAATGCATCTTAGATGTAAAAACCCAAGGCAGAGTACAGAATATTTGGTAGAGTCCCAACCTAAACATCTGAGGAAAGGTTCAGAGAAAACTTACCAGGAAAGGTTAAAGGATCTTAACATGTATAGCTTGGAGGAAAGACGTGACAGGGGAAATATGATAGAAACATTTAAATACATAAAGGGAATCAACACAGTAAAGGAGGAGACTATATTTAAAAGAAGAAAAACTACCACAACAAGAGCACATAGTCTTAAATTAGAGGGACAAAGGTTTAAAAATAATATCAGGAAGTATTACTTTACTGAGAGGGTAGTGGATGCATGGAATAGTCTTCCAGCTGAAGTGGTAGAGGTTAGCACAGTAAAGGAGTTTAAGCATGCGTGGGATAGGCATAAGGCTATCCTAACTATAAGATAAGGCCAGGGACTAATGAAAGTATTTACAAAATTGGGCAAACTAGCTTGGCCAAATGGTTCTTATCTGCCGTCATATTCTATGTTTCTATGGTTAGAAAATACAGAAAATATTGTCATTTTAATTATAGGACTATACTGTAATATATCCCTTTATTTGACATTCTTATTTTAATGGCTAAATAAAAAATGAACATATTCATTGCAGATCTCAGGCTGCGTAGGATGCGATGAAATGACATAGACTCTTCTGACTGCAGTTTTATCTGCGATTAGGTAAATCAAAGCCTTAACATTCACAACAGATGGATCCAGAGCTCAGCTTCTCTGGAAAGGCATTGCAATATCTTCACGAGGGATTACACAGATTCTAATTAAGGAAAGCAGTAGACCAAAGGAAATCCAGTAGTGGAATGTCAAAACCACATGTATGCTCTCTTCATGTCATTTTAACATTTTTCAGCTTGATGAAATTTGGAGTCGAATGATTCCCAGTATATTGTTTTTGGTTTTATTTTTAGCGTTTTCGGTTTAGTGACTCATCCTTTTATGTGACGACAGGGAACAATATACAGTATGTTTCTGATTCTATATTTTCAGCAAGCAATATCCATCTTATTCTTTGTTCTTTGATACTTGGGTCAGCATTACCCTCATTTACCAGTTTTCAGCTCCCACATTTGATAGAGTTTCAATTTAGATTTTTTATCGAGTGCGAAGATTTAGCCTATTACAAACATTTATATAATCATTTCATCTGGGATATTCTATCCTAAATGTTACAATTTGGTTTTCAATTTACTACAATTTGCTGTTTCGTGGGTACATTTTCCATACCTGACTTGCATAAACAGGTATTTCTTAAAACCCTCACAACCATGGTTATAGACATGTTTTAGTATACCACTCAACAGTCTTGGATTCAGAGGAACAGTCCCTAATTTAGGCTTCGGTCCCAGCATTCTGAGTTTTCTTTCTATTCCCACATTCCTCCCAAGTCCACATACAGAGAAGCACAAGTGCATGGTTGAACCTGCTTGTGATATCCAGAGTACACTCAGGGAATTCAGCCCATAAGCAGGCAGTTATCTTTGGGTGTAACAACCTGCGGGGTAGGGAGTGGGTGGGACAAAGTCTGGATGACAGGTGGGAAAGGGATGCACAGAGCTCCACCAGCCAGTCAATTTGTATAGCACGGCCTTGCAGACCTCGGCTAGAGGATCTTCAATATCCTTTACCAGGTGTGACTGGGAGCTGCTCGCTGTGATTTCCAGGGCACTGAACAAGCAGCTTCCTGTCAGACTGGGTAGAGGACACAGAATATCTCCTTACTGGTTGGTGGAGTCACACTACAGAGAGGGCTTATAGACATAAAAAATGGAGGGAGAGCAGGAGACAAGACAAGGTAAGATGCACAAGGAGACAATAGACAGAGAGATTGGAAAGTAATAAATACAAATGAGGTAAGAGACACAAGGGGGAGGGAAGAGACACCAATAGTGGGCAAGAGATACAGGAAGGTAAGATACACATTGAGCTAATGGGTAGAAAGGGGGTGGGTAAGAGACACAAGTGGGGTAAGAGAAACAAGGGGGTATGGGACACCAAAAGCGGGCAAGAGACACTAGAGAGGCAACAGGGGAGATAAGATTGAGTAAAGTAAGAAAGACATTCAAAATGGATAAAGGAGACACAACAGGGGGTAAGAGACATATGGGGGGTTAAAAGACCCCAAAATTGGATTAAGATGGGATAAACAGGAATAAGAACAAAAGGAGGAAAAGATGCACGAAAGTGGAAAAATAATGGATTAAAGGGGCAAAAGAGGGATTAAGAGAGATTTTTTTTTTGGGGGGGGGGACAGCCAAATGTGTATTCTCCTGTGTACCAAAAATTCTCACACCGGCCCTTCCTGAGTGCAGCTGTCTAGTGTGGCTATCAAGTAACAAATACAGTATATTTAAATGAATATCATTGTTATGATTATTATTGTTCTATTACTGTAGCTGTGTTTTCTTCTGTTACAGGTGATTAGTTAGGTTTGGTTAGAAGAAGGATTTCAAACGTCATGACTACAATCGGTTACTTGAACAGTTATGTATTTTTAAGTCTTACTAATTTTTGGGTTCTGGTAACTAGTGATACTAGTAATTCAGTAAGCCAGATACCAATACTTCATGTCTTTGTGTATGGGACTAATTTTAAGCCATATCAGTTTCAATGGGTTGGACTTTCTGGAGCCCAGTGACGCAGATGGAAAACAACAGATTTAATTAGTATTTTTTTGAAAATTCGGTGACTCCAATAAAATAAAAAGTCTAACGGACCGTTTTGCCCACAAGAGGTTAAAAACTGTTTAGGCGATATTCCCCTTTTTCAGCTGCACCGACAGCTTCTGCAAGCGCCAATCTCCTGAACTGCAAACCCACGAATTCACCAACTCCCGAACTGGAGACACATGAATAGCTGCTAGCAGACGAACAGGAAAAGCCCCCAAGCGGCTTACACTCCTGGCAATCAGTCTCTAACAGCATACAGTAAATCCTCACCCAATAATGAGACGACACTTCACTTTGAGGGTTAAGCAGGAACTCATTTACTAGGGCTAACTGCCCGGCTTTTATGTAGGTCTCCCACCTGGTGGACACTCCCCTAGGGGACCAAATTGAAGACTGGGACACAAAGGGTACAAGAACCAATCACAGACTTACACATTTCAACCATCCCACAATGCATCACAATCCCTCCTCTCTGCTCTGGAGATAATTGAGAAGTAATTCAATTATCTCCAAAGACAGAGGCAAAACTCCATTAACCACATGGCAGAAAACAAACAGTAAAATACATAAAATTACCTACAGTTACATTCAGTACATAAAACATATAAGTTCTACATATCCCCAGATAGCTCAGGTCTGAGCGCACATTATTAAGTGAATGGCGCTCAGACCACACGAATACAGTTTAATCGCCATGGAGCCAAAGTCTTTACACAGTCAGTTTCATGCGAATGGGCTCCATGGGATTCCTATCTGGGGTACAACACACTCAAACAAAACTACCGAACACCGGGCCGTTCGTGCACTTTCACCGAACAAGAAGGGAGGTCAGCGGCTTCAGCGGTGTTCGCGCAAAACTGTGTCCTATTTCAGTTCCATGAATTAAGCGTCGAACACCGCTGTGCATTCGCATGTTTAAAATGGCCGCGACCTCGTGTTCGTGATACGAATGGCGGCCGCCCAGCATTCGTCAATTAAGCTGCGGTTAACCGCAGCTTCAGGGAGGTTAATTGCCGGCACACTCCAGCTCCCAGGTGGTCTATTCATTCGTGCGGTTGTTCGGTAGATTGAATTTACTGAACACCCGGCAGAAAAGCACGAATAAGTCTTTTCTGCAGGGAAAAAGATGTCTTTTAACATGGGGCCATAGTCCAAAGGCAGCAGGCAAGCAACCAGGCTTCTCCAGTGTACAGTGGCGAGGTTGGTTTCGCCACAAAAAGCAATTCTAATTGTATCTGTTTTACATCTTTAATAGTCTGTTACTTTATCCAGCATATTACCTTAAAAGGATACACAATCATATATAAATATTTGACCAACATTTTAAATAGAATATTGTAACCTGTTTTATTTTTTTAACTTGAGGACAAGGCCAGGACTGTAATCAGGAGGTTTGTGCATCCGTCAGGTACAAATCTCAATAATTGCTCCCTTGTGGTCTGGTGCTCGGTGAGTCAGAGCAAAGCCATCTGGAATACTGGTGGCTGCGCTCTGACTCAGGACCAGAGAGGGGCCTACCAGACCTGATTCTGGGCTCTAGACAACTGTCTTGGTTACCTAATGGGTAACCTGGCTCTGAAAGTGTGTGCATGTGTATAGAAAGAGGAAGTACCTAACTCAGCATAACTTCTGATATATGGTAGGGAAGGACAGAGAACAAGCGAAACATTCCACCAAAGGGTGGGACTGCCCCTTGGGAAGTTCACAAAGGATGTCTTCTCCTGATGGTCAGTGGTTGTAGCATGGCTGAGCTGTGCTTCAGCAGAAGTTCTGTATTTTCTTTATACAGACAGACAGTGAGACTATATAGGGACATAGACCAGAACAACAGAGGCCTCATTGCTTTAACTCAAGTGGCCCAATCATTGATGCTGTCACTTCAAATGTTAGGCACTAAGAAGTCAGCAATACCATGTTCTAATGAAGTTTAATGAGTCAAAATGGAAAGTAGAATTTCTGTCTGTTATTTTGTTGTACAGTGCATTTGTGTTCTTTCCGACAGCGTGCCGTTATCAGCATAAACTGGCAAGCACCACAATACGCCATGAGAATCAAATCCAGCCAGAGGGAACCTGCTTTCACGAGATGTTTTATAAGATGACGGCCAGCTTTTCTTCTGCCAAACCAATAGCTTCTGTGGCTCATAGCAATCTATTTTTAGCAGATGAATTGGACACAATGCAGAATCCTTTAATAGAGTGGTTGCTGTACTGGTGCAAACAGAGATTCTTGCTCTGTAAGCAAGTTTTATATTTTTCTTTCCTCTCTTACAAAATAAATAATATAAAAGGATGGGGACAAGTTTTTCTGTATGTGATAAGTATGACCGCATCTGACTCAGTTGCTCATGGTTATGACCACATCCCACTGACTCAAAGAGAAATACTTTGATGACACAGCTGTGATCCCACTGCTTTTATGGACGTTTCTCAAGCCATCCAGTTATACCAAGATCACATGATGTGATGTTTGCTTAGGCAAGGCTTAAACTACAGACATTATCCTCAAGCAATTGGTCATCATTGGAATGGGGCATTGGTAGATGTAGGTGGCAATAATATTAAGACATGCCAACTTGTACCTCTAAGAACTGTAATGAAAGTCCATTGCTGATTTTTGGGATGCCTGGGTTTGATCTCGTCTGTCTAGATACCATAAACACGACAACATGTTGTGGACTATCCATTTAAAATTCAAAATAAATGATCTTGTAGGGTTATATAGAAAAAAGTCCACCTTCTCCATAACTCAGCCAGGATTGTAGGACTGCTTATATTATAGTAGAACGATATCACTTAACATGCTTAAGTATCTGCATGAAACAGTAGAATCTGAATCAGCTTTAGATACTGTGACTTAAAATCAGATTATTCCCATTGATATTAGAGTTAAAATCTTGAGACTTAGCAAATAAATCCCATGTATAAAAATCTGTTACGATAACAATATAGCTAGCTTAGTCTTCAGAAATATATCACAAATCTAGCATAGTAAAACAAACAAGATTTTTTTTTCATCATAAAATATTTTTTAATAAAACTTCCATAGTAAGCAAGTTTAATAATTTGATAATACATAGAAAACTTAAACAAAAGGTAGATAGGATGCACAAGACAAAGAGAGTAGAATTGTAATATGTGGATGGATTTGAAGGCTCTGTTTACACAGTTGTCATTCCAAGTAAGTAGTACAGATTTATTATTAGTCTATAGGAAATCAGTTTTGTTTTGGTTTCATTCCATCAGTGCTGCAGAGCTACTACTAAAAAACATATGCAACGGGCCAGTAATAGCTAACATCGACCTTGTTGGTGGACTATGCAATCTCTGAGCATCATGGGAAATATTATTCATGAACATCTGCAGTGCCAAGGTTATCGATTACAGCCATGGTAACTGTATGTATTGCATGGTCACAATCCTTATTTTACTGAGGAGTGTGAACAGAACACATTGCATTCAAAGGGTTACTTTTGTAGAAGATAGTAGACTTCGGTTTCAAATGAAATACGATTCGACTGAATTATGGGCGATCGGTCGTTCGTGCTAACTCTGAATTGATATCTGGATGAATCATGAAACAAATAAAATGGACAATGCACAGAACAGTTTTGTTTTGTTTTTAGAATTTAGAGTTCTGTCCGTGGCGCCAAAAATAATTTAGATAACTGACGGAAAAAAGATAATCGACGGTTAAGGTAGAGCACTAAATTGTATTCATAGATGAATAAAGGGAAAACGTAGAGGAGCAGAAAAAAATAAATACATCTATTTTTATGCAAATATATATTTAAAGGAAAACTATAAGTTCAAGAACACAAACATGTATTCCTGACCTCATAGTGTTAAAACCACCATTTAGGTGGCTATTCCCCCCTTATAAATTGTTAAAACTCACATTTTTTTTCCAGCGCCCCACAGGTCTGCCGGTGCTGGCCCCACCCTTGAGCTTCCTATTTGGAGGATCATCCTCCTACGGTAAAGCATTGGATTGGCTGAGATCGCCAAGGTGACAGGGTGGGGCAGGGGCCAAATCCCAGCAAGGCCAATCAGCATGTCCTCATAGAGATGCATTGAATCAATGCATCTGTATGAGGAAAGTTCAGCGTCTCCATGCAGAGCATCTAAGGAGTGGTCACTGGAGGTGTCCATAGGCCAAGGATAGGCAACCATTGTCCCCCCCTAGATGTTGTGGACTACATCCTCTTTAATGCTCTTACTGATAATGATGCTGGCAATACACCATGGGTGGTGTAGTCCAAAACATCTGCAGTGTCAAAGGTTGCCTATACCTGCCCCAGGCTTTAATGTAAAGACTGCCTTTTCTCTGAAAAGATAGTGTTTGCCTGAAAATGCCAGCAGGGACTGTCGATACTTACCAGAGTAACTACAATGAGCTGTAGTTGTTCTGGTGACTATAGTGTACCTTTAATAAAGATGTAATACATAAATTTAGATTTTTTCTGCTCTGCTTCTTTTTCCCTATTTGGTGAGTTTTTCTCACTTGACCCAAATAGTGTGAAAAGTGTTCTGCAAAATATATCCATAATATTTATATTGTGCAATACACTGATTGGCCGAGTTTTGCACCCTTTGATTCGTCCAAATAGTTTTTTCCCCAAAATGTTTGCATGGATGGAAAAGGTACATACATACGTACGTGTATATATATATATATACACACACACACACACACACACACACACACACTCTGTACCTTTGTGTACATGTTACCTGAGGGGCCTGTTTGTGCCTGTGTGCACCTGTAAATACCAATGTGATACAGATATAAGTTCCTGGGTCACTGCCATCTAGTATAGTGAAGGGGTGCCTAGGAGACTCTTGCTTCTACCTCCTGCCAAAGGGGGAATCTGGAATTGGCAATTCCTCTCCTTCACTATACAAGACAGCAAGCTTGCATAGTAACACCGGACCACCAGGGAATGTACTGGCCCCCCTCCTTGGCCACAGATAAGAGGGATGGGGGAATAAACTAAATAATACATTCGTCCTCTACATTAGGTATAATACTTTACTTCTAAAAGACATTTAGGCTAATGGGTTCCATAAATATTGAAGTCACTAGTTCATATACTTGGTTCGCGTTCAGATAAAGCACAAGTCTTCAGATTTCATAATCTGTACCCCAGAAATGAATACAAATCTGTTCTGTAATTTCAGGTCATGATTAAATATCACTATATGTTACTGGAGTAAAACATAACATCCCAACAGTTTTTACCATCTCTGCTGAGTGTGGTGTATAGAAAATGTCAAATTTCATAATAACTGAATTCGATGACATAAAATAGGTTTATATCCGGTTTATTTAAAAATGGAAAGTATCATGAAATATATGGAAACACACAAAAAAGACTTCAGCAAATTTTAACATTTGATGTCTATTGTCCAGAAGAACAAGCCTCAATTAATGATTTTGCATATCTTATTAATCAGTGTCTATAATATGTAATTGCAATTAGCAAGCCACATTAAAAACACTAACTAAGCAAGATTTATTAATGACGATGCTTGGGCGATTCTAGTTAGTATTGGACTGAGATTTAACATGTAACACTTTTCTTGATAAAAGATCTTTGGATACATTGCCGATGTCCATGAATTGCTGACTGCAAGGAATTACAGAGTCTTGTAATTGCTTCAGTGCAATAACTATGATTTAGAATTTTTATAAAATCAAAACTATTCTGAACATTTTGTTGTTAATCATTTCCACACTTAACTTAACACCGGATGGCAAGTGGACCGATCATTCTGTTGAAAATTATCATTACTGGTGGTATAAAAACGGAGAAGGTTTCTGAATACAATTTAAAATGTCAAATTTTAATTAAAACAAATAAAACTTTTAACTTTAATTTAAACCTAGTATTTCTACAGCTAATAAATTACAGAGTTTCTTAATACTGTTAGATTGTTATTATCCTTTATTTTTAACATGCCAACATTTATCAGAATCTGGGTACGTAAGCTAAATATATAATTAAAATTCCAAAGTGTTTCTGGACAAAGCTTTATGAAACACTGCTGCAATTGTACAATCCCCTCAATAAAACTTGTATTAAAAACAAACAAAAACATTTTACTAAAATCTCAATCTTCCACTTTCCAGTTTAGTGATCTTACCAGTTTCTTAAGTACAAGTACTAGACTTGTGCGCACATCTGTTTCAGTAACGACGAACAAATCAAATTCCTGTTATTTTTTCCCCGAAATAATTGATCCATCCAAGATTTAGATGTGGAGTTTTATGAGGATCCACATGTAGATCTCAGATGGATTCATTAATTCGGACGTAGATTAACAGGAATGATTCGGTCAACAAACGCATTTGTGCTCAAGTCTACCAAGTTCTGATGTGGTGGCCAAGGGGTCATACATTACTTGTTGCACTTGTAGAATTAAATGATATTGTGTGTGTGTGACTGTGCATGTATGTATGTATTTATACACACACACACACACATCTTTCAGTTAGGCTAATGATCATTATAAAAAAATCTAAATTTTTTCTGGCTTTCTTGGCACAGAAACATTTATGACTCTAGCATTTTTTATTAATCTGTTGACCTGTCGATTAAAACTCAATGAAAAGACAAGTGTCACTGTCCATAATACACAGTCTTTAACAACGATAGATATCTGCTGAATTGTAGTAATTAATCTACATTATTACACATGGTGATGCTAGTTTTATCAGTAGAAAAACCATATGATCCTCAGAATAATCTTGTAGCGGTGGTAAAATATTGTCCTCTACAAGTCAAGTGAAGGATTGAGGGGCATGTCTTGTGATTTGGTTCACTAAGTTCACTACGTTGCATAGTCTCTTAAAACATGCGTTGGGTAAGTATTCCCAGAAATGGAAAGATTGTGGGAGGTAGCATGGATGGTGAGCTGGTCAAATATGGTACAAAACATTGTTTTAATAAACAGATGTTTCCATAGTGTGCCATAAAGATCTGCTCTTTGTCATAGCAGGTTTGTCATTCAGATCCTGATTAACCGCCTACCATTCCCTGTAGATTTACTAAGATCTTCTTGTTTCTTCTCAGGGTCTTGGCAATGTAGACAATTGATCTTAGTCACACGGACTAGTGATCTTTGGCCTTCCAGCTATTGTGGGCTTTCTGGCAGAGAATTGTCCACAATAGCTGAAGTTCCAGTGGCTAGTTAACACTGATATAGACTAAAGGTAATATCACAGAGATAACATTTTGGAAAAACACAGATAGATCTAGCAGTAAATATTGTATCAAAATACACAGAAAATATAAAGCATCCTTGTGAGAAGAACACAAGTGTCTGGTAACATTGAGATGGAGATACATATCTGAAAAGAGCCTTCTAGAGGTATTGGTAGAATGCGAAGCAAAACTGTGTTTAGTAGCTTCTAAAGTGCATCGAAACTCATAATGAAACTGCACAGTTGGTGAAATGCAACAGATTTGTGCCTGGAATTTCAGAAACAGTGCAGACCGATCAACATTGAGCGATGGGTTATTATGTATCACTTTGCAAAGTTTATTCTCCATAGAATATGTGTTTTGGTTTTTAAAACGTAGATCAGATTTGTGAAACTTTCATAACAGAGCATGTTTTTTAATGGTGTTTGTCGTGTGAGCTATTTATAAACATGTCACCTGAAAATAACATATCAAATAGCTAATCTGTTATTCCATTAAGATTTTTTTTAAAAGGATACACAACCAGGGTCGGACCCTTTTGCTCTCTTCACGTCCACCCTATAAAAGCAATGTTCTTGTTTCACATGGACATGTCTCGCAAAGGCTTATTAGCAGATTCCTAAAAAATAACTGTAGCACCACAAAGCAGTAGAACGTACTGAAACACTATTAAGAAGGTTGCCACCAGTATCGGTGATGGAACTGCTTGTCCACTGCCAGAGCTTGCCACATTTTGCTGTTTACGTGATATCTTGGTAGGACTTGGGCCAGGAAGTCTGGAAGGTTTTGCTTCGCTCGAAACGTTAGGCTGCTTTGCATCTGAAACAGAGAAAACATGCATTGCATCATTCAGGGATACAAAAGCAATCTGTATAATCAAATACAAAAAACAAAAAAAATTATCATAACAGTATTTTACATCATATTTCCATTGTGTACGTGCCTGAAATGAATCAGAAGGAAATACAATGTTGTCATAATATTAGTACTTTTTGTTTGTGCATATATTATTTTGAAGCGCGAAGGCGATCAGTGTCTCTTCATTTCAGTCCTTAAACACACCTTATCAAGCACTGGCCTATGGTGGTACATAGCAAATATGCAATGTAGAATGAGAGCCCAAGTAAGTTCAAGCAATGCTGTACAATGCATAAATAAGCTGTATAATAAATGTTACTAAATACGACAGTAGTGTTTATTCCCATGACAATGATCCCTTAAGGAAGGTTTAATTATGTGATCATGCATATATCTGTACACAGCCATCTATCCTTGGGTGCACTTGCATATAATATATCATGTAATGTTTATGGTATGGTATAGTCATGTTACATGTTCTCATGATACAGCTGTACAAAATGTATTTTAAGGTTACAATGAATAGAAGACATGTTGGGTTTTGGGGATAGCTTTTGTATTCAACAAAAGAAATCCTTCAGATTGCCATTAAAGATCATTAGGGACACATTTCAGAGAAGGCATCAGAGCGGTGACAGACAGCAATGTGAGCAATTCTATCACTGTCATCCTCCCAGGCAGACATTTCACAGCCTCAGCTGCTCTGTTCTCCTGGGATGACTGGTCAGAACCTCCCCCACCCTTTCTCTGATTCATATCAATTTATCAGCTACATCCTGGACGCCGGCGAAATATTAATCCAAATGATTTTCTTTCTGCCTTCAAACCCTGATTTGTAATATCAGCACATGTTGTGAAGTTATAACATGTACAATATCCAAATCTGGCCTGAGTAATTTGATCTCCTGCCGCAACCACGTAAGGCAATGAATATCAAAAAGTACCAAACCGCCTACATAAAAGCAGGCCAGCAAAATTATAAACAAACAGCTCTGTAATTTATCAGCTCTAAAATATATTGCCCAACTGCGTGATTTCATTATATGTCCAGTTATATTTAAAGGGAAACTATAGTTACCAGAACAACTACAGCTTAATGTAGTTGTTCTGGTGAGTAAAATCATTGCCTTCAGGCATTTTTCATGCCTGAACTGCCCCAGGAAGCTCCTCCAAGTGGCCATTGGAGGTGCTTCCTGGGGCAGCTCTGCACAGTATGTAGCACTGCCGCTCAGCGTCTCCACGCTCTGCATGAAAACACAGAATTTACTCTATGAGGAGATGCTGATTTTGCATCTTTTGCCCCGTCCCCATGCCACTTCCTTGCCGATTTCAGCCAATCCAATGCTGATTGGCTGAAATTGCATTGGATCGGCATTGGATTTTAGCCAGTCCAATGCTTTCCCTATGGGCAATTCTGATGAGGTCATCAATGAGGCAGATGGGGGTGGGGCCAGCATCAGCAGGCCCGCATGGCGCAGGGAATAAGGTGAGTTTTTACCTTTTGTAAGGGGCAAGTCACCTAAATGGTGGATTAAAAACTAAAGGGTCAGGAATACATGTTTGTGTTCCTGACCCTATAGTGTTCCTTTAAACATTTGTACTACATTTGTACTGGCGTGCCGTGTGAATCTAGAATTTTGCCCCAGTTACACTGTTAAATGAACATAAAGAGACACTATAGTCACTAACAGGCATAGGCAACCTTCGGCGCTCCAGATGTTTTGGACTGCACCTCCCATGATTTGCCAGTATTATGGGTATAAGAGCATTATGGGGGATGTAGTCCACAACATCTGGAGTGCCAAAGGTTGCCTACTCCTGTACTAGAACAACTTAATGAGTATAATCATCCCAGGCAGGCATTTTTACATAAACATTGTCCCCTAGGGACATCATTGTTTACATTGTCCCCTAGGGACATCTCCAGAGGCCACTCCTCAGTGGGCCACTGGAGGTGCTTCCTGGGTCAGTGCTGCACAGTTCTGCATGGGGACGCTGAACTTTCCCCATAGAGATGCATTGATTCAATACATCTCTATGAGGAGGTGCTGATTGGCCAAGTCGGCCCCCTTGCTGATTTAAGCCAATCCAGAGCTTTCTCTACGGGAGCCTTTTACACTCTGTCTAGATGGCCTGTCGGTGGTTATAACCTTTACTTCTCTCCTGAATAAACTGTAGCTATTAGTAAAAATGAATATGTTGGAATTTGTTGGCTCACATTTGTTTAGATATCTTCTCCTCCACCATCTGCAGTGCAATTGGCCAACTCACTAAAGAAAACTCTTTGTGGTCGCTACATGTTTAGATCATTACTGTGTTGTCATATAATGAACATGAACAATCATAATGTTACCATGAGTCAGCTGTAGGAGAATATAAATACCCTGCTTTATCATTCTAGGCCTCATTTGTCCCCTCCAGGTCTTTCTGTGGCTTTCTTATTTATTTCTAATTGTCAGGGAAAGTCTTAATTTTTTTATTTTTTTATTTTTTTATTTTAATAACCCTATCCATAGAGAAGGTGAGGCTTTTTAATAGGGATTGACCGATATTGTTTTTTTAGAGCCGATACCGATAATCTGTGAACTTTCAGGCCGATAGCCAATAACTTGCCAATATTCTGTACATTTACAGAAACTGCAATAATTACCACTGTAGGGGTAAGGGACATGGGACATCGCACCCAGACCACTTCAATGAGCTGAAGGGGTCTGGATGCCTACAGTGTTCCTTTAAATAATATTCCACAAATAAAATGTTAAACCTGCGTGGTGGGTGGGGGCCATAAATTACAATGTGGGGGGGGGGGGTGGAACCTACTGTCCTCCCCCCCCGGCCTCCACCCTTGAGTGGTGGGTGGGGGCCATAAAGATAATGAGGGGGGACACCTACTGTCCTCCCCTCCCGGCCCACACCCCTGCGCGGTGGGTGAGGTCCATAAATTACAATGGGGGGGGGACCTACTGTCCTCCCCCCCCTGGCCCTCATGCTTGAACGGTGGGTGGGGGCCATAAAGAAATTGAGGGGGGAACCTATTGTTCTCCCCCCCGGCCCCCATCCCTGGGCGGCAGGAGGGGGCCCTAAGACAAATCTCCCCCCCCCTCAAAGGTGACTAGAGGACCCCAAGCCCCTAGTCACCCACCCCCACCCCAAAAAAGTTACCCCCTACCTACCCTCCTCACCGTAAAAAACAGTGAGGGGGAAATAAAATAACTAACCTGTAAAGAAAAATTAAACTTACCATTTTACATCTTCTTTTTTCTAAAATCTTCATTTTTCAGCCCCAAAAAAGGCCAAATAAAAAACCATCATACCCAGCGCCAAAAAAAAAAAACAGACGAAAAAGAAAAAACCCGAGCGCAAAAAAATATAATCCATCTTCACCCATGGAGGGCTCCGATGGGGAGGACAGTAGGTCCCCCCATTGTAATTTATGCCCCCCCCACCATGCAGGGGTGGGGGTAGGAGGACAGTAGGTACCCCCATTGTAATTTATGGCCCCCACCCACCGCGCAGAGGTGGGGGCCAGGGGTAGGACAGTAGGTCCCCCTCGATTGTCCATTATGGCCCCCACCGTTCAGGGGTGGGGGCCAATAGGTTTTTATTTTTTTAATTTATTTTTTTACAGTGAGCAGCCACTGGCGAGTAGGGGCATATTATTTACGAATACTAAGTAATCTTTACTTAGTATTAGTAAATGTGGATGAAAGACCAATTTAGGTCTTTCAGTCTTTTGGAAGATAACTCCCTAATACCATACGAATTAGGGAGTTATCTACTAAGCGGCTGCAAGATGCAGCCGCGGCACAAATTGAATCGGAGTTTCATTCATTCAAATGAAATTCCGATACGAACAAAGTGCGTTCTAAAACAAACAAACATACTGTTCTCATTCAGTTAGAACGCAATTCGGCAGTTTCGGCTAAAATGACACGAAGCATCGTGGGAACACTGAGGAAAGGTAAGACTTATGGGAAAATTGCTCTAACCAGCGGAAATAGAAGCACACTTTGCTCCTCCGCTGGTCAAAGCTGGTCAAGCGGAGGGAACCTCCATAAGGCAAAGAGTCCATACTTTGTCTTATGATTTTAAAGAAAACTAAAGAAGACAGGAAGAAAAGAAGAACAGATCATGAGAGAGGGGGAGAAGATGAAGAGATTGAAGAAAGGTAAGTTCGACATGACAGTGCCGCTTTAATATGGCACAAAATTAGCACTCCTTGGGGAAAGCCCTTTTATAGACTTTCCCACGCTATGACAGCTACTGCAAAGCTAGTGCAAAGCTAGTAAGCCAACCAATTAGAGTGCTCTGACTGCCAAATCTCGAGAGTAGTGAGATGGGATGGGGCCTTTTCTAGCAACTTGTCAGCAATAAGCAATGGCTAGTTCTGAATGTTTAGTAAATATGTCCCCACCTACCTGATGTCAAATGGGGACTTATGGAGGTACATTATCTCCATTGTAGTAACATTGGAGTCTTATTGACCCCGACAGTGCCACCAATGGTTATTTAACTATTTGCAACCAGCTCTATTTTCAGTTTGAGACAAATTTCGTCCATGCAAATATCTTAACGAACCAACAACACACAGAAAATGCCCCAATCAATATATATTCCGACTGGAATTAGCTTAAGTAGATAGAAAGATAGAGAAGACACAATCGTGACTGAGATCAAGGAGGTCAAAACTGTTTACTGAAGCTAATTCCAGTCGGATTTTGGTTGACCGAATAGAATGGTATTTTGCAATACAATTTTGGCTCACATTCCATCATCATTCTAATTTTTTTAAATGTTCGATTACTTTTAAACATTTGGTTACAATTGTTTAGCTTTCGTTCAAGCTGAACCTTGATGATTTTTTTAAAAAAATTTTTATTTAAACATGTCCCTAACCATCAGTTATCTTTTTTTGAAGGGGTACATGGATGATCAGCTTCTAAATTGACGTTTTTTTTGTTTCATGATTGCGTCATATAGCGACTCAGGGCTATGGAATTTGGACAACCTACCGATCGCCCAAAATTGAAATGTGTCTTCATTCGGCTGAAACCAAATGCACCAGACTACTCCATACTATTTAATGCCTAGGAAAAACACCATTTATTTGGTACATTTTACTATGTCATGCCTCCCACTAATCTGGATTCAGGCAGTGCTGAGACATTTTTGGAGCCCTGCTCTGAGGTCTTCCAGAGTTATTATTGGAATTTATATAGCAACAATGTATTCCACAGAGCTTTCCAATATTATAAAAGAGAATTTAACAACAAATTAGACAAACCTTTAAAAAAATTTGACAGGAGCGATAGGTTGAACAAGTTTGCAATCTAGAGGAAGTGAGGTATAAAATGACAAGAGGAAGAGCAGAGTGGGCATAGCAACCAAGTGACGGATGGGAAGGTAAACCTGGATTAACAAAGACCCTGTGTTTGGGTTGAAACATTGCCGAGCTCACTTATGGATGAATACATCTTCTTTAAGAAAACATTGGTGTTGCGAATATGTTATTTATTAACAGACGCAAACAGACACAAGAGGTGAAGAAGGCCCTGATCCAACAAGCTTACCATCTACGAAGAATGGATAAAGACACACAAAATAAATAACAGCATATCAAATAGGACGAGGGATTGATGGATAAGATGCCTGCTTGGAAATAAGCTAGTATGTGTTACCGGACTGATGGGAGAGAAAAATAAGCCTGGCAGCAGCATGAGTTAATTAAATATCCTACATTCAAATGCATTTATGCTCATCAATTGTACTTGCTCACTTCACTCAATTTAAAAATGAATCAATCAAGTGTATACATACATATAATACAGGCTATGACTGGGAGTGGGACAAGGAACAGGAAAGGACTTGGCGTACCCCTTACCAAATGGGTGCAAAGCAGCAAGTATAAACCTGTGAGAGTGGAGCGGAAGCTACAAGAAGTTTGCAAGAATGAGAGGTCTGGAAAAGCCTGTGCACTGATTAAAAGTGACAGCTTTCCTACATGAGGTAGGATATTGTGTATAGCATTTGCAGAAGCCAAGAAACAAATCTACAATTCACACCAAGACAGAGCAGGACTGGCTTCATGACTGAGTGGACTGTAAATGTCTGTAGCAAGCAATGAGTTGGCAGATGGGTAGATACCCCAATCTTAGGAGAATAATGCAGAGCAGATCACCCAGTGGTAGGAAGTGGTATGAAGGCAGAATTCCCCACCTTGTTTTCGAATTTTCCCCTATGACCAGACCAAGAAAGATGGAGGATTTGGCTGGCTGCAACCTTGCAGTGATCAGAACAAGGCGGTAAAGTGGTAGACACCAAAATCCTTTGTACAATCCAAATATCCTATATCAGACATCTCTATTCTGTGACCCTCTTTCTTTAGAAGCCTCACCAATGTTTGATGTATGAATGTCATACCTAGCCACATGAATAAAACGCACAGTAATGTGTGTCTACAAGTTTATCACAGAGCAAAAACAATAAAACTCATAGTAATGGGAAGTGTGTATGAGAGATGTGCAGAGTTTCATAAAAATAAAACACATTTATTTGTGTGTGTGGGGGCGGGTGTATCACAGAGCTCCACATCAATAAATCATGTTCAGTTTGCCTGAATATATCATAGAGCTCCTTAGCACTGTAATGCAAGTCAGGTGGGTGTGTCTATATCAAAGAGCCCCACATCAATAAATCATATAGCATTGAGTGGTCTGTATAAATGTACTACACAGATCCACAGCAACAGTAATTTCTGGTGTGTGTGAATAATAATAGACAGCAGCGTGAAGGGAAAATATTTAGAAATTCGTTCGTGAAATAAATTGTTTTTCTGAATTATTTAATCAATTACTTATACAGCACTAAGTAGGCCATTAAATGGATACTCCAATCACAATCAGTGTTTTTATGGAGTAATCTTCACTGGCACAGGCACTCAACTTACTTAGAACCCACACTATTGCCAAGTTCTTCTTGCAGTCCAATCCTACTTCAGTGATGTAATTCCCCCTTGCTGCAGGGGGAGCGATGTCAGGGAGGCTGGGCTGTGTGGAAGGGGGAGGTGTACCACCATGGGTTGTCTGTCAGCAGCATGGTTTGCGTGCTGACAACCGACATCTTTTATGCACACACATGTAACCTTAGCAACCCGGAACTCTTCTTCCTGACTGCTAATGGCGCTGCAGGTGGACTTAAACCTATGGCAGCAAAATACAGACTCCAAGCACCATGACTGCTTCAAAACACTAAACTGGTCATGATGCTTGCAGTAACCCTTTAATGTCAACTAAAAATTCCCATAAGAGATGGTCCCCAGCCGCACCTCAGGACTCGAGAACACAAATGACCATTTTTGACAAATTGAAATGATGGGCAGCATGTAATTTTATTTCTATTCCCACACAGAAATCAGCAGCGATGAGGCCTAATGAGTACATTCACAAATTATGGTACAAAAGTATCTTCAAGTTAGAGCTGCAAGTACATCTGTATACATCAATTATACATCAATTATGAAACTGAACCCTGGCTTGGAAACACTCCTCCACCCGCCACACATGAACTTCATTAGGAGAACATTTTATCTAGGTAAAGTGAAAGTTAAAACAACAAGGAAAAAAAGACTTTGCAGATCAGTGAAGTCTTAATAATTGTCTACTAATTATGCCCCCCAAGTATAATTAGTCAATGTATCACAATGGTTTGACTTCTCACCTGGGGTCCACCAGGTGCTGCTTCCCTCCTCCACCAAAGCCTTGAGAAAGTCAGAAGCTCCAGCTAAGGAGTTTCTGTTAGAATCAGCTGATCGATCTCAGTGAATAAACTAAACCCTGAGTTGCTGGGATTAGCTCAGGCCGTAGTCTAGGCACTGAGCATGCTGTAGTGGTTGTGATGCTTTGAGTTTTCCTTTCATGTCTCAGCTTCAGAGATTTTATTTTCCTACTTTTTCAAAGATGACAGCCATTCTGGTACTGGGCAGAGAACTCCACCCGATGTAAACCACAAGCTGCATTCTTATATTTGTGGTTGATGTTCATTCTCTCATGTTTTTTTGATTATCATGATGACTGCCTGACAAGGCAAGTTATGTTATTATCAGGTTTAACAACTGTGTCTGTTCCCACACTAACAGAAATTATGAAATTTAAAGTTCCAGAAATATACTTAACTGTTTGAAGAATATTGAAGCACATTTCTTTATTAAAAAAAGTAAGAATTCATTCCTGGGTGGCAGCTCTATAAGAACCCTAGATCGAATGTCGATTTGATTTGGTGATTGGTAGAATCAAAAGCCCATTCTCTGGTCTTTTTGCTGGACCTGGAGTAGGCGTTTGATAGAGTAAAGCGGTCATATCTCGTGAATTACTTGGGACTCCCGGAACAAGGAGGAGAGGGTAAAAAGGTGGGCCTGATCCACTGCAGGAAACTGTCTGGTTGCCCCCAAAACTACAGGTCCTTGCAAATGGTTCAAGTATGCATTCACAGCACAAGGGCGTCTAATATTGTCACCAGATGCGGGACACTACGGAACAAAATTGTAACAGTGGGATAGGACCAATGGAATCAGATCTGTTGGGGGGGAGGGGTCTGCTATTATATGTGCTAGATAACAAGCAATGTTGAGTAAACTTTGGCACAGCCAATGGTGTGGTTAAGCACCATGGAAAATGTCTACAACTGAGGCTTAGGAAAGGTTAGCGAGAAAAGAGTGTCTCTCACGCATTGCTGTTCATTCACAATTTATTTCCAGCTTAAACTGCTACCATTGACCCTACTGAAATTAACGCTTTCCTGAAGTCACCCATAAAGGGGTACCTGGAGTGGAGTGCTCAACCCAAAATCTGAAATATGGTCTGGATTTCATATATACACAGAAAAAAGGAAATTGGAGGCACATCCAGAACATGCATTTCTCAGCATTGGTATTGCTATCAACACCAAAAGATATAGAAAATACAGTTTTGAATCTTACAATGTTACTTAAAATCCACTATCTTAACACACAAATATCGGGGTTCAGTTACACAATATATTGTGTTAAGCCTACCACTATGTCATGGTACTCCAATATTGGGGGTCCTGCACTAACGTAAACCTGGGGTTGCATGGGCTATGACCAGTTCTAATAGCCTTAGTGGGGAGGTTTTAACAACAGGCAAAGTCAAACACAGTTGTTGAATATTTTATAAGTTAAGCAATAAGTTCTACCCCTTCCTATATCTAATAGAGAACTGAAAAAGTCATCCCACCTTCAAAATCTTTTTACAGTTTTTAGATGAGGCTTGGCACATTATAAATTAGGTGTGCATGCAGGTTCAGACATATATTTGGAAATCCAAAATTTCCCAGCCTTGCGGCAGATAATTTATATTCTACTGATACACATATGCATTTTGAGGTGAACAAAAAAAAAAAAAAACTTTCAAAGATTATGGCATTTCATAATTTCAGTATGTAGGCAGGATAATTCTTGTTTTGGGTTCAAATCCACCTACCCCTCTTTTTTTCCCAATGTTCATGTAGGAGCACCACATTTGTTCTAAATTACTTTTTTTGGTAACAAATTTTTAACTTGTTCGTTTTATCTTTCTCCATTACTTAAAGGACCACTATAGTGCCAGGAAAACATACTTGTTTTCCTGGCACTATAGTGCCCTGAGGGTGCTGAAGGGGGAGGAAGGGGTCAACCCCTTAGCTTTTTTCCAGCGCCGGGCTCCCTCAGCGCTGGGACTCTCCTCCCTCTTCTTCAGTCACCGGCTGAACGCGCTCGCATTCAGCCAGTCTCATAGGAAAGCATTATCAATGCTTTCCTATGGACGCTGGCGTCTGCTCACTGTGAAAATCACAGTGAGAAGCGCGAAGCGCCTTTAGCGACTGTCAATGAGACAGCCACTAGAGGCTGGATTAACCCATAGGTAAACATAGCAGTTTCTCAGAAACTGCTATGTTTACTGCAAAAAGGGTTAGACCTAGCTGGACCTGGCACCCAGACCACTTCATTAAGCTGAAGTGGTCTGGGTGCCTATAGTGGTCCTTTAAAGGAATACTATAGTGCCAAGAATACAAAGCTGTATTACTGGCACTGTACCTCTCTCTGTCTCCTCCATCCCTTGCGCCTCCTCCGCAGCAGTGAATAAAGGGTTAAAAACGGCGTTGGGTCACGACTCTGCCTCCTACGACATCACTGGATGAGAGGGCGCTAAAGCGAATGCCGCACTCGCATTAGGCTTTCCGATAGGAAAGCATTGAATCCAGGGGATGAACCTAATCTCAGGATGGGCACTGGCAGATCATTTAAAGAAACAATGCAGACACAATAACCACTTCAGTCACACGGGATGCCTCAGTGGGTGTTTGGGGCGCCATTTTTTGCCGCCCCCTAAATAGTGCCGCTCAAGGCAAATGCCTAGTTTGCCTTGGGCTGAATACACCCCTGTGTGTGAGTGGGGCAGTGTGTGTATTGAGAGCAGTGTGTTTGTGTGTAAGTGGCGCAGTGTGTGTATAAGGGGGGCAGTGTGTTTCTGTGTGAGGGGTGCAGTGTGTGAATGGGGGGTCAGTGTGTATGAGGGGTGCAGTGTGTGTGTATGGGGGGCAGTGTGTGTATGTGGATACATTGCGTCTATTGGGGGCTGTGTGCAGGGTCATGTTTGCCTCACAGCAAATAAGGCATTTGCCTTGGGCAGCAATTTCCAGGGGGCGGCAAAAAACGCGGCACCCAAATGCCCAGCCAAATGTCTTGTTAGCCAGGCAGGTGGGCGGCTAACTAAATATCCATGCGGGCATCGCTGGCGAGGGAGCACTGATTTGTGAGCCCACTGCTCAGCTCCCTCGTCATATTCCAGCTCCCGGCATCACTCTGCGGCGCGCGGGGGAGCTGAGCAGAGAAAGCTCATTAATCAGTGCCCCCTCGCCAGCACCGCCTGCCTGAATGGATTCTTAGCTAGCCGCCCGCCTGCCTCCCTTCCTGTCAGAAGGGACCCCAGGACCCCAGGTAAAAAAAAATCCACCCAGCACTCCCAAAGGTACGGAGGCTGGGTGGATTTAAATTAAAAAAGAAAAAGTAATCGGTTAATGTTTGGGGCGGGGACGGGAGGGGAGGGAGGTGGGGGTGTCAGTGTGTGCATGACTGAGTCATTGTGTGTGCCTGACTGTCAGTGTGTATATGTCTGTCAGTGTGTATGTGAGTGATTGTGTATGTATGTCTGTCAGTGTGTATCTGAGTGATTGTGTGTGTCTGGCTGTCAGTGTGTGTATGTCAGTGTGTATTTCTGGCTGTCAGTGTGTGTCTGTGAGTGAATGTGTGTGTGGGTCAGTGAGTGTGTATGTGTCGGTCAGTGAGTGCCTGCATCTGTCAGTGTGTGTCCAAGTAATAGTGTGTGTGTATGTCATTGTTTGTCAGTGTATATGAGAGTGTGTGTCTGTCAATGAGTGTATGCATCTGTCAGTGAGTGTGCGTCTGTCAGTGAGAGAGTGTCTGTCAAAGTGCGGCCTTGACAGGAACGGGTGGGAAAAATTTAAATGGGGGGAGGTGGAGGGTGTGGGTGGGTGCCCGAGCACTGTCCAGCCTAGGGCAGCCCAAATCCTAAATACACCACTGGCTGTGTGTGCATGGAGGTAGTGTGTGTAAGGGGGCAGTGTGCGTAAGCGGGGAAGTGTGTGTATTGGGGGCAGTGTGTGTAATGGGGGCAGTGTGTGCATTGGGGCTGTGTATGTAAGGGGGGGCAGTGTTTGTATTAGCAGCTGTGTGTGTAGGGGGGCAGTGTGTGTATGGGGGGCTGTGTGTGTAAGCAGTGGCAGTGTGTGTATTGGAGGTTGTGTGTGTAACGGGGCAGTGTGTGTATTGAGGCTGTGTGTATTGGGACTGTATGTGTATTGGGGGTTGTGTGTGTAAGGGGGTCAGTGTGTCTATTGGGGCTGTGTGTATTGGGGGCTGTGTGTGTATTGGGGTTGTGTGTGTAAGGGGGGTAGTCTGTGTATTGGGGCTGCGTGTTTGTGTGTGGTGCAGTGTGTAAGGGGTTAAAGTTTGTGTGAGGGGGTAGAGGGGCAGATTAAAGATAATATATGTTTTGTAAGTTTAAGAAAAAATAAAAATTAAATAAATATAGTTAATGTTCCCCCTCCCTTCTTACCTGAGGCCTGGGAGGGGGACAGTGCCTTCAATCCCCGGTGGTCCTAGTGGTGAGAGTGAACAGTAGCCTGCAACTCAGGCTAGAGTTCACTCTAGCGAGAACGGAGCGTTGCCATGCCACACACACACACACCCTAGCCACACCAGAAACATTCTTATTTACACATACACTACACTAAAAAACAATTGTCTCTACGCCCACACAATTCCACAATCAGTGTTCAACCACATACAGCACCACAGAGAGCCTCCCCACACATGCACAGCACACTTTACAGGCCATGTCCCACTTTTGTCCTCTGGTATCCCTCTTATAGAGACATCAGAGACATGTCAGCAGCATGCGCCGAACTGTGCCGTGTAAAACAAGCACAGGGCATTGTTCATGCGAGAGCTCTTCAGCAAGGCTCTGCATATGAGATGCCCTTGAGGGACAGCAAACTAACATGCTCGCTTTGAGGCGTCGTTGTTCCCTCCTACTTGGCTGCTCTAGCTTTCAATGCTGAATTTTATTCGCAGTCCAGCGCTGGTTGTGAGATAGAGAATAGACAAAGCCATAAAATAAGTGTAGGCTAAAAGTGGCAAAAAGGAAGTAAAGGATCAGACGCCCATTGAAAAGATCTGTATTGTACAAGTGTTTGACTTCATCAATAGTGCAAATTCAGAAACACCTGATTCAGAATAACTTGCTCATAATAATCTCCTCAGACCGCTGGCCGTGCTCCCTACTCAGGGAGTCCCTGAATCTTTAGCCTGCCATGCTGCTTCCTTAGACACGAACTAGGACCAGAAGTGGTTATGTGTAACAATGGCAACGACGCAGTGTAGTATGGCCTACCGTATGGTCGCTGAAGACGCCTGCAGTCTTGAGGTAGGAGCTGCAGGATGATTTAAAGCAGAATAAACTGGTTCCACAACTCTAAGCCTATGGCTGTATACATATACACACATACATGCATTTTTAGAGATTTCATGAAAGATTAGAGTGCTAAAATGATAAAGTTGGTGCCAAAAACATAATGTAATCATCTAGTTTCTTAAATTCTTCAGAGGTATGGAAATTATTTTATGTGTACATGACCAAGCTTCAGTGAATCAGCCTGCAGTCTGCTGCTGGCCAACAATCCTGCCATACGGACCTGTTATTATAGGGATGCTTATAACCACATAAAATGTTAACTTAGCGGAATATCTATTTTTTTCAACCACATTATTGTTAAACCTTCATCTATACACGGAGTCATGTGATAAGCCTCCGGCAGATTTAAACACTTAATCTATACATTATGTGGGATAACTCCACATCAAATGCACAGATAAAATGATATACTCATGAGGCACTTGCTTCCATTTCCACAAAGACAGCTGTTGACGTACATACAGAAAGATGTGAATGCATTTGCATTCTCCCAAACTGTACAGTGTGACACTTAGGATTATGGAAGGAAATAGACGCATAGACAGAAATTGATAAGTGGCGTGCATGCAAAAGTTAATGGGAATAATGCTTTCTCATTACTGTTCTGTACAATAAAATAAATGATTCTCCGGTGCCCAGGGGTTCTCCCATGGTTCTTTTGCACGTGTAATGTAAGTTTATGCACTCCTTTGTCCTTAAACTATTTGTTTTCATCAGCCACAGTCTCCTCTTGCCATATGTCTGAGCTCTCTGAAATATCCTACATTTGACTTCTTTTTGGCAATTGCTCTACATATGGCACATTTTTTGTGTAATTTGAGATTACAAGTACTAAGATTAGGCTACCAGACATACTCACAAGACCGATGTCTTCTTTGTTTATTTCTTAGGCTTGAGAATGTACAAGGCACAGATCTATTATTTGCTGGTTTCGGTAGGCCACCTTCTCTGTTCTAGACAACTGAATTTGACCCATGGCTTCATGTGTTCTGTGTTTGGGTAATTATTCACAGTAGAGAAATACTATACGTTGTGTGCTGTGACCATATTAATAAAGAAAGTAAAAAGAATTCACACCAACTGAAAAATCTATTTCTATAAAATCTTCCCTTTCACTATGGATTTTGGCTAAATGTTGGACTGCGGATGTGCGCATGGTAAGTATGCAGATGGAGGAGAACGTGTTTTTGGTCAGGATGAAGCCAATACCCCAGGAGTTTAATATTCTTCTTAATGTACTCCAACCATGAAGAGGGGAACCGACCTGCATGACAGGTTTACTATGCAACGCACATGAATAGTGCCTAGAACAAAAACCATATCCATGCGCAGAGTAGGAGGGCATAAGGACGACTTAGATGGGAGAGAAAGCTTAAATATCAGATTGTCATATATATTCTTAATTTAATTAATTACAATAATAATAACAAAGTATTTAACCAGGAAAGGTACATTCAGATTACTCTGTTTTCAAGTATGTCCTGGGGATGTTACCTTAGCCCAACATCCAGGGGTTACTATATTTATATCAATTGAATTAACGGTATACATTAGAACTGTGCAAAAAATAAACGAGCCACGGTATCTTTTAGCTTCAGCTCTTATTTAAATTTTTATAAAACAGGCATACTATTTTCATAGTTTTCTTGTAAACTGGGTCTATTAGATGTGCTATTTTAATATGCCTATAAATTCATTTTTCTTAATGCGTGTTTTTTGTTTTTCATTACAGTGCATATGTTACAAATATTTAACATTATGGGCCTTCATTTTGAAATCTCGGTGACTTGACTGTTGGCTGACTTCAGATATCAATAGCTTATAAATAGGGTGAAAAACAAACAAAGCAGACAGAATAAGGAAAATATTTTTTCGTGCAAAACAAAAAAAATATATTTTTTTAAATGACAGATCTATTTTGGGGTTAAGTATTTTAATCTTCTCAAAACAAATGGAGTAATCCACAATCATAATCAACAGAGTTAAAGGGCTTTAGCAGATAGCACTATTTGATTATATAGAAGCCCAATGTCTTTTTATTAGGCATTGTGTCTGTCACTGTCAGCCTATAATTGCCTTTAGTTCTGCAAATATTCAGTGTGCATCACCTTCTCTTCACACCAATGTCCACATTCATCCAACCAGAACTGCGGCTCTATCACCGCTGACAGTTATTGGCATGGGCTTTGATTGGACTCTGTACTCTTGTGAATATTTAGAGAGAAAATACTAATCATCAAACAGCCATCTGATAAAAAAAGTAAGAAAAAATAGCCCTGGGAGCAGATCTTGTTTAAAACAGACATACAATGTTCTGATAATATATAGAGTTGAGCGAACCCAGACTGTAAAGTTCGGGTTTATACCGAACATTACGGTTTTTGGACCCCGGGCCCGAACACGGACATATCACTGTATGTTCGTGTTGGAGTTCAGTGATTTAATGGCGCGTTTTCAAAGGCTGCAGGGCAGCCAGTCAACAAGCGTTTGACTCGTGTGCCCTTAGAAGCCATCACAGCCATGCCTACTAGCGGCATGGCTGTGATTGGCCAGTGCAGCAGGTGACCCAGCCTCTATATATAAGCTGGAGTCGTGTAGCGCCACACGCACATGAGCTCTTATTAGTGTAGGGAGAGGATGCTGCAGGTGAGGAACAGCTTAGGAAAGAATTCTGCAAACTAGTAAATTAATGGGGTGGACTTCACATCTGAGTTTTAAAAAGTACATTTTTTGGGTGCTAAATAGTACATTAGTGGGATAGTACATTAGTGGGGTGCACTTCATATCTGAGAGTCAAATAGAATCGTCAAATACTGCTGTCACATTTCAGTTTTAAAACTTAACATTTTTTTGGGTGCTAAACTGCTAAATAGTGTTTTAGTGGGGTGCACTTCATATCTGAGAGTCAAATAGAAGCGTCAAAAAGTGCGCTTACAGCGCAGTTGTAAACATTCTAATTGTTTTGGTGCTAAACTGCCAAATAGTACATTTTGGGGCCTGCTCTTCATATCTGAGAGTCAAATAGAATCGTCAAATACTGCTGTCACATTTCAGTTTTAAAACTTAAAATTTTTTGGGTGCTAAATTGCTAAATAGTATTTTAGTGGGGTGCACTTCATATCTGAGAGTCAAATAGAAGCGTCTAATAGTGTGCTTACAGCGCAGTGGTAAACATTCTAATTGTTTTGCTGCTAATCTGCTAAATAGTACATTTTGGGGCCTGCTCTTCATATCTGAGAGTCAAATAGAAGCGTCTAATAGTGTGCTTACAGCGCAGTGGTAAACATTCTAATTGTTTTGATGCTAAGCAGTACATTTTGGGGCCTGCTCTTCATATGTGGGAGTCAAATAGAAGCGTCTAATAGTGTGCTTACAGCGCAGTGGTAAACATTCTAATTGTTTTGCTGCTATTCTGCTAAATAGTAAATTTTGGGGCCTGCTCTTCATATCTGAGAGTCAAATCGAAGCGTCTAATAGTATATATATATATATTAAAACAGTGTTGGCTACCTCCTTCTCCTCCACCGCTGCTTCCACCTACGATCACCGCCTCCTCAACCTATGGGTCACTTAGTATAAACTATGTACATAATAGCAGAGGCTTGTGAAGGCCTTTTCTCCATGCATCAGGAGTTGAGCATTTCTCCATGCATCAGGACTACAAGAAATGCACCGCAGGCTGCAAATGTTTCTTTTTTTTATATGTCCCAATATTTTGGGGGATACCCCAATTAAATAAATAAATAAATAAAAAATAAATAAAAAAACAGTGTTGGCTACCTCCTCCGCTTCCACCGCCACTTCCACCTACACCGCCACGGTCACCGCCTCCTCAACCTATAGGTCACGTAGTATAAACTATGTACACAATAACAGAGGCTTGTGAAGGCCTTTTTTCCATGCATCAGGAGTTGAGCTCAGTTTGAGTAATGAAAGAGAATACCCTGCACTCCAACCCTCTCTCAAATGAATAATTCTGGTGATCCTTCTGACAGCCATGCTTTAGATTCTGATTTATGTTCTTCCAAAGCTAAAATCAAAGATTTCATCTAGTGCTATTTTATGGCTCAGCTGTAATTTTTATGTTATTTTAGGTGATTTCCCTATCCACATTTGTTTGCAGGGCACTTGTCCTACTCTTACCGTCATTTTACTTCCTTTTGCAGCTCTCTAGCCCTTTCCAGGAGTTTTTTAGAGGCATTTTTGTGGCCAAAAGTTCGGGTCCCCATTGACTTCAAGTTCGGGGTCAAGTTCGGCCGAACCCGCCGGTCCCTAACATCCAGGTGTCCACTCAACTCTAATAATATACAATGTAAAATGTAATATCAAGAGAGCAAAGGATAATTCTAAAGTAGTGAAATACTTTGCTCTCTTGATATTACATACACTCAGGGTTATATACCAGAGAGTTATACCATTTATTAATTTTATATATCCTCTTGGTTACACTTGGATCCCCTGAGTCTATAGAGATTACATAGCATTATTTAACTGCCTGCAGTCTGAATCCCCTCCTGTGTGACTTAGATTTTAAGTGTTGTTTTTTGTAAGTTTCCTTTTTTGAGGGATTTTTTCTACCCTATAATAAAGCTCTTTTATTTATTTATTTTTAGCATTGTTTTTCAAGTACAGACCCTTAGATCCCTTACTTTCGGGTGCTCTCATAGCCTTGTGCATTTGTGAACATCTGCAGACATACAGAAACATCGATGACAGAGTTCAACCTTAGAATGACATGGGATGTTTCAATTCAGAAGAGACACTTTGGAATTTTGTGTTCATTCCATCAAATGTAGGAATTGCTATACCTTCTTAAGCTTATCCTGTCTATATAAAGTATGTGCACTCTGGGAACATCCAACAGTGGACTATAAAGCTGCATTAAAAACAGAATTCTTAATTTAATTCAATATAAAAAAAAATCTACATTTTAATTCCACCACAAATCTTTGACCTGCCACCGTGACTGGCCTTTCAACCATTCCAAGTTTTCTCCAGGTTTCCTCAATTTTGTATGTCCTCCTCCTAATATTGTTAAGTCCTGCTCCAGACCTCTTTATAAACATATATTCAACTTATTTCTCTCTTTGGCTCACACCAGCTGTGACATAATTTTAATACACAGTGTCCATTCCTGCCAGTTATTAACGCCTACGCTTTCACACTTTTGATCTCCTTAGTTTTTATTTTCCTTATGTTTTTTTTGGTGCTGCACATAATGTAGTTCGGATGTAATGTAGGTGCCGAAGGTGTTGTGCATGTGATGCGCTTGCAAAGATGGTGCAAGATGTGTATTAGCAGTTGTGTGTAAGGTGGATTACTGTATGTAATATGGGGGCATATCTGATGTGGGTGTAACACTATATGCTTATAATATATGTGACCTCATGTAATGTGGGTGAAAATCTATGTAATGGTATTAAATGTAACATTGCTGCTGGTTTTGATGCAGGTGAATGCGGGTTGTTGGATGTAGCATTGTTTTTGAACGCTACATGATAGTATATAAGTCCTGGATACTCTATAGGAGCTAGGCGTGATGGTGTATACAACATTCAACATGGCAGGCTGTAATGTGTGTGATGGGTAACATTGTGGATGCCATGTGACTGACATGTAATTCTTATCAGACTCGGAAGGTACTAAGTAACCACTATAGAAGTTGAAGTTCACAGCATTGGTAATGTCAATGATTGCCAGTTCAGCTCAAGTCTGGAAATATAATTTCCAATGGATTATAACAATTATTGTTTTAAGTGCTTGCTAAGCTTGGTAGGAAATAAAGTTCACGGTAAATGGAAGGGGCAGAGAGGGAGTGCATGCCAGCATTTCTGTTTTTACAGCACTCCAGAAGGTAGTCACCCCACCTCCTCCATGTAACCATGCATACGAGCCAACATGGCCAGCCCTCCATCCAAGATGGAAGTGGGGACAGGGGGACAGGATGGAAGTGCAGACAAGGGGACAGGATACCTAAAGGGCCACCTATGAAAGGGGAAGGTCTGCCCACAAAGTGAGTGGTCAGTATGACTGACAGTCCTCGTTCATGGCAGACCATGCATGGAGCGCAGCTGTTCCCTCTGGCATCCTCAAATCTACCCAGCAGATTCAACTGATTGGTAAATTTGAGAATGCTGGACAGATCACCAAGATCCATTTTTGCTTGGACAGGACCCCAAAATGCAGGACTGTCTGTGTAAAATCGTGACTATTTTTGCCAATGACCATGCTGCCTCATAAAGCCATGACAATGGCAAAGAGATGTGGGGCCTCAAAAGAAAAATACCAGATCGAACAGAATGTGGTGATACCGATCTCTGTATATTACAAGGAAGACCAATAAAGCTGAACTCCATTCAATGATACACAGCTTAGTAATTAGTTGTGGCCACAAGACACTTTAGTACATTTAGTATAGTTAGTATATATTTTTTAATCCTGGTTTGAGAGCTGAGATCACACATTATCTATTTATCATATGTATATTAATAACCATATAAATTCATTATAAGCTGCTATAGAACGCAAGCAATCTTTTGGGGAATGATTTCACAGATAATTGACAGGTCTTGTCATATTACACTGGTTAATTCTGTTCTTGATTTGTTGTATATGTGGCATATCTCAGTGGGTAATTCCGTGGTAAGTATATATTCTTTGTGTTGCCAAGTTTGTTGCACATTTTCTGTGTATCCAGCGACTGTAGTAGAAGAATGAGTCACCCTTTGGATCTCTATCAAATTCAAAGCTGTCCAACTGGCAAGTGACAGACTGCATGCAGTATAATGGGATAGCGGGTAACTCCCTGGCCTTTTGTCAAAAGTTATACTATTCAGACCACCAGCATATTGACCTACAACAGACAAAAAAGTCACCACCCAAGATGCTGGATGGCGTTTGTTTTAATTAGGTTTTGAATCAAATTTTCCAGCAGAAATTATAGTAAAAAATCCTTGGCACTAGAAAGTACTTTTGATTTGGATTTATAATATGCTGACAATACCTCCCTGAGAATACCTTAATATTAAAGGGAGACTATAGGCGCCCGGACCACATAAGCTCATTGAAGTGGTCTGGGTGCAGTGTCCCTGTTCCCTTAACCCTGCAATGTATAATATTTTAGCTTCAGAGAAACGGCAATGTTTACATTGCAGTAGTAAGACTGCCTCTAGTGGCTGTCTACCAGATAGCCACTAGAATTGCTTCCTGCTATTTCTTCGTCAAACAATGCTAGATGTCTTCAAATCCTCAAAAGGAAAGCATTGCTTCAATGCTTTCCTACGTGGAAGGCCTAACGCATTCGCGGGGACAGAGCAGGTGCCAAGGGACTTCGGCACTGGAATAAGGTGAGTGTTTCTAAAGGGTTTTTAACCCTTTAATTGCTGTGGAGCGGTGCGAGGGAGGGGGCAGAAGGACTCTCTAGTCTTTGGAATACAGACTTGTATTTGTAACACTATAGTGTTCTTTTCATAGAATCCTTTGTGTTAGGTGCAACACATTTTGTCAGGTGCTCTGCTCTGACAACCCCAGGTTGATGCAGTAGAAGTTTAGATGTAGGAGCCCTTTAAAGCCCCTGTATAGATTGGTCCATCTGAGTAGGTTAGGACTGTGTAAATGCTATATAGATTAGTATTATTGATGGACACAGAACCTCCAAGAGCTATCTTAAAGTCAATGGTAATGACAATACTAGGCACATAATGAAATCTACAAGGCAACATCAAGAGTAGAAGTTTATTTTTTTTCTAGCGGAAGACTTACCAAGGAAAGTATGCGCCATGATCTAAAATAACATGTATTGATGGAACTAATGCTTTTTGCCACAATTCAATCCATAATGACAATAAACCTAGACAATGACTTGGTAGGTACATGTCCCATTGTCAAGATTTGATTTATTGAGACAAATGTCTCATTAGATTACTTGTTTCTGTGTGTATTGCTGTATACTGTGGTAACAAAACTAAAGCCCCTTTGAATTTGTATGGTTGACTTCAGACTATAATGAAAAAATCTGTAACCCTTTCGAGAAAAATGACACGGAAATTTAGTTTTCTTGTAAATCCATATCGATTGCACAGATTGTATTGCTAATTATACAGCACAGAGATGATATGAACTTGTACTAAAAAAATAAATAAAAATTAAATGTGAGGAACCTAAGCAAAGCATACTCACAGTGCAATCTTATTAAAGGAACACTATAGTCACCTAAGTGACTTTAGCTAAATAAAGCAGTTTTAGTGTATAGATCATTCCCCTGCAATTTCACTGCTCAATTCACTGTCATTTAGGAGTTAAATCCCTTTGTTTCTGTTTATGCAGCCCTATCCACACCTCCCCTGGCTATGATTGACAGAGCCTGCATGAAAAAAAAAACTGGTTTCACTTTCAAACAGCTATAATTTACCTTAAATAATTGTATCTCAATCTCTAAATTGAACTTTAATCACATACAGGAGGCTCTTGCAGGGTCTAGCAAGCTATTAACATAGCAGGGGATAAGAAAATCTTAAAGGGACACTGTAGTCACTATAACAACGTTGTCTCTTTGAATTGGTTATAGTGCCTGGAGTGCCCTGGCACTGTCCCTCCATTCAGTGTTGCATCATGTTTGTGCAGTATGCCACAAAATAAGAGTCCCAGGCCACCCACAGCCCCTTTTGTATGTGTAGCTAAGGCAGAGATTACACACTTCCTTGCTGTCATACCCATTCATACCGTGAGTTAAAAGCAGTCAGCTGACACTCTCAGCCAATCACAGCTGCCCATTGCTGCTCAGGGTAATACTTCCTTATTAGGCAAAGCAGCACAGAGGGGATGGATTGCCGGGGTCTCTTGTTTAGCATTAAAACATTACAACATTAAAAACTGTTTAATGCTGAAAGAAATGATGGCACCAGGGGACTCCATACACTATAACCAGTTTAATGAGATGAAGCAGATACAGTGCCTACGGTGTCCCTTTAATTAAACAGAACTTGCAATAACGAAAGCCTAAATAGGGCTCTCTTTACAGGAAGTGTTTATGGAAGGCTGTGCAAGTCACATGCAGGGAGGTGTGACTAGGGTTCATAAAAAAAGGGATTTAACTCCTAAATGGCAGAGGATTGAGCAGTGAGGCTGCAGGGGCATGTTCTACACACCAAATCTGCTTCATTAAGCTAAAGTTGTTCAGGTGACTATAGTGTCCCTTTAAGTTTATTTTTCTGTACAGATCAGTTAATTTACCCATGTTTAAACTGGTATATATTTTCTGGTATATAACTTGGTATACATTTTTATGCAAAACTCACAGAAGACACAGAATCTGTGCTATCCAGACTTAGCTAAATTTAATGCAAGTCTTAAATATGTATAGTGAATAAGGCGGCCTGACTTCATACATGTTCAACTGGCAATATAATGTCACATGATTACCAGAGATAGATATTGATTAGAAACTGCACGTTTGAGAGTCCCATATGCTACTTATAAAGCATCCAATTTGAAAATGTAATTAGTGACAATATTAAACATATATAAGAGCACATTTATATGTGTTAGTCAGTACACTGGCACACTAAGTGCTTTTTAGATTTTGTGTTCTATACAGTAAAGAGGATTTTGTTTAATTCATTAAGGAAGAGCTCCACTAACTAAATTTTTATTTGAGTAAAACAAACAATGGAAGCTATACATCCCAAGGTTGACTATCTGGCCTCCTTGAAGTGCTGTCTTTGACTTGTAAAATTTAATTTTATATAATTTGATAATACAATTTGATATGTAGATTACATAATGCGTTTGTTGCTGCTGTCTATTTAAACAAATTATAAGCTAACAAAAATGTGATACAACTAAATTATAATGCAAGCGACACATGGTTGGCATGGCCTGCTGGGAAGTCAAATGTGTATTGTATTTCCACCTATTGGGAAATTAATTTGGAAAACATTAAACAGGCCGTACTCATAAAAAATGGTTCCATTACCCAAAATCTTTAAAGTGTAAATCTGTTGGTTAAAATTCAACTTTACTTGCCAAAATGTCCCTATGAGCTTAAAATTGCCGAAAATAGTATTTTCTTTAACTTTGCTTATATTATTATTATTTATAAAGCGGCAAATTCCACAGCATGTACAATGGGTGATCCTTCATAGGGTTTTGAAACACACACCTCCTTTCCAATGGTTCCAGTGCCACCATAAGACCACCTTTGTGGGTGTGAAGTCTCTTCTTAGTCCTGTCTCTCTTGCCTACTCTTGGCAGAGCCCCACCTGATAATGCTGATGTGCTGTCCTCATTGCAAGCACATCAAACAATTGAACTGAGTAACGTCAGATATCAGTCTTTTCTGGACATGTGTCAGCTTTGATGGCAATGGGACGCCTGGAACGGATGCACTCTTGAACTGAATGGAGCTGACTGAGCAATCAGCCAATAGGTGGACTTTCTTGCAGACAGACATTGGCATAGATGCTATTTTTTTAATTAAATATATCGCAAAAAAAATATTAAAAAGTGAAATTTATTTCGCTATGTATAGATGAAATTGCATGAGAAATCCATTTCCAGTGAGTGAAAGTAAGAATAACAGGTATTCTTGAATATCATTTTGAATAATACTTTTTTAAGACTCCTATTTCATTTAAAATTCAATTCTATGTAAACTATTGTAATCGGTTGGGATTTTTTTACTTACCTGGGAACTTCTTACACATGTTAATACATTGCCTGCAAAATGAATTTTTAAAAAATGGGTTTCAAGGTTAACAAGGAACTTAAATACCATAACCACTATGTTTTTTTTCTAACATTCACTTATCATTAGTCCTCACCATGCTAATAGATCTGATTTTTTGATTTGGAGTAGGGGGACCTTGCTCCCTTCCCCTCTCCAGCTCTCAGAGACAACTTGAGCTTCAGCCCATACATGCATGGATGCTTGAAGTCTCTCAAAATCACTGTGTATAGTTTTGGGCCAGTGGATAAAGGATAAAAGCTCAGTATTTCTGCTAACAGCTAATTGATTGGGTCAACTTAATGAGAGCTGATGAGTGTAACTGCAGCTGGGGGCTGACTTAGATATACTATTTTATTTTTTATTTTATTTTTAAATGTTATTTCATGCATTTTGTTTTATTCATTATCTCTTTTATGTATTAAACATGTATGTCACATCCAGCGTAACATTTCATGAATGGAAAATTCCTCTGGTAAAATATATCTCTTGAATGGAATGTATCTATAGGAGTGTGCTTCTATAGGTTTCTCAATGTTGTATCTACTCTCGAGCCTTAAATTTACAGTGAATGACCGTGATTACAATTTGTGACATAGGAGGTGAATTTACAGCTCGGGAGGTTTTTGAATTTTTAAAATCAGATATCATGCAAAAAAACAACAACCACTTTTATTCATTTATTTATGTACCTATTTTACGTAATGCTCTAGCAGCAGATACATTTGTGCACGTTTAGTGTCTGCGGTTTCCCTTTAATTTTTCTGAAGAAGACTGAAAATAAAATAATTAGTTTAAAAGAGTGAGTCAAATCTACCCATTATCAAATAGAAAGACTTAGCTCAGTAACACGTGGAATGACTGCACTAATGAGAATGACACCAGCCTGTAAACCTTCTTTGTATCGAGGGCCCAGCTACTAAAGTGCTCAGAGAGTTTCTTTGGAGAGCTGGCTAATGAATGTTATCTTATTAAGCTTCCATCTATCACTGTAACTCTATTGATCCATCCCTTGGCTATTTATGGTTTTTACACCTGCAGTGATAGGGCATCATTTTCTTCTATCCCTTGCTAGGCTGGAGCTTTGATCCTCTGCATTCCATTGATTTCCTAGTACTGTGTTTACTTTCTATACAATAAATATTGTATTGAAGATTGGAGGTGTGTATGTAACTTGTCTACTGTTGGAAATTGTGACGGCAGATAAGAACCATTCGACCCATCTAGTCTGCCCAATTTTCTAAATACTTTCATTAGTCCCTAGTCTTATCTTATACCTAGGATAGCCTTATGCCTATCCCACGCATGCTTAAACTCCTTTACTGTGTTAACCTCCACCACTTCAGCTGGAAGGCTATTCCATGCATCCACTACCCTCTCAGTAAAGTAATACTTCCTGCTATTATTTTTAAACCTTTGTCCCTCTAATTTAAGACTATTTCCTCTTGTTGTGGTAGTTTTTCTTCTTTTAAATATAGTCTCCTCCTTTACTGTGTTGATTCCCTTTATGTATTTAAAGGTTTCTATCATATCCCCCCTGTCTCGACTTTCCTCCAAGCTATATATGTTAAGATCCTTTAACCTTTCCTGGTAAATTTAATCCTGTAATCCATGAACCAGTTTAGTAGCCCTTCTCTGAACTCTCTCTAAAGTATCAATATCCTTCTGAAGATACGGTCTCCAGTACTGCGTACAATACTTCAAGTGAGGTCTCACCGGTGTTCTGGCTGATAATTGCTGTATCTTGCTGTATTTGAGTGTGCCTGATTGCAGATATGCAAGTACAAAGTGTGTCTTGTAATGAAATAAACTTTTCATATAGAATCTACAGCAACAAATATGTTTTCAGTGTTTCGTGTCCTAATAAAAAAAAAAAAAAAAAAAAAAAATATATATATATATATATATATATATATATATATACCCGGTTTGACTGGGATTATCTGTTTGGAAGCGATGGCAATTTTGGCTAGTATTGGGATATTTTCTGTCCTGGTGTACTGCCCAGTTGGTAAATTATTCTCGGCTGCTGCAGTTGTACCGGGGACCGTACCCTATTGGGGGCCCATAAGGTGGGCCTTTTACTTAGGGACACTTGATAGGCATCACTAATCAAAGGCACAGCATAGCTTAAAGCATGAAAAAACTATTTAAAAACTAAAATATAAAAAAATTATAAAAAACATAAAAGCTTCTTTTGTGTCGTAACGCCATCTCCACTCGCCCTCAGTTTGTAAGAAAGCATGCGGTTATTAAAAGGCATAAGTGCTATCTTATCATTGGAATATTTGTGAACCTGCTCACATAGGATAAGTACAGGACATGGAACCCCATCAGTAACATTAGATTGGAAGTGAAAATCTAGTTTGTGTATACAAAGGCATTGCAAGGGGGTAGGTTGGCCGGTTGACATAGCAGTTATCCTTTTGGTATTGCGTAATACTTCTGTAATTATGATGCCAGCTTGATTTTAAACCAGCTTGAAATCTGGTACTGGCAATTTTGGCTAGTACTGGGATATTTTCAGTCTTGGCGTACCTTGTACCCTGCCACTTGTAGAAGCACAAAGTCTGCGGCACAACCACATGAAAGTGTCACAATTTACCTGAACCTTGGCTTCTACCAAACTTATCTACACTGCACATAAAAGTGGATGTCTCTTTGCAGGCAGAGACAGAAGCAAATACAAATCAAGTGAAAGAAGAAATTTGCTAAAGTTTTTCAAAACACTTTGTCCTATATAGACTGACTTCAGAATTTCAACCAAACAACAAACATGTCAGACATCATGTAGCTATATAACCTTCCAATATAAAATAAATCTGTCCATCCAACAGACAGATCAGAGACTTGTATATGTATATATACACACACACAAGTCTTCTCACATGCTATAAACAAAACTACCCACTGTGCATTCTGGGTAAATTATAACTCACCGCAGTTTAGTCTTTGTGGTTTGCATCTTCCTCTTTGCAAGGAAGTTTTATGTCATACAACACTGCCAATGAGCATGATAATAGCAAACTTTACTGCTTTAATGGACCTCTTTCGTTATCTATGGCATACATTTCTTCAACTTGCTATTGCATAAACGTATACAAATATATATTATGTCCATGTACAGTGACACATGCCAAGCGGGTAATATTAAAATTCTGTTATTGCCTGTGTCTGTGTGAGTCAGTATGTCTGTCAATGTGTGTGTCTTTGTGGGTCAGTATATGTGTGTTGGCTTATGTGTCAGAATCAGTGGCGGATCCAGAAGCTAATCTCGGGAGGGGAACCGGCAGATCATTTTAAGAAACAATCCAGGCACAATAACAGCTCTCTGTAGTGGTTTTGGTGCCAGGATTTGCTGTGGTGCCCTCCCAGAGTAAGTAGTCAAACCGTTTAAAAAAACGTTTGATAACTTACCCAGGGTCTGCTGGGATAGTGGCTGTAGTGTGTGTGTGTGCGAGTGGTGCAGTGTGTGTGAGGGTCACAGTATGTGTATGGAGGGGTAGTACGTGTGTGAGAAGGGTGCAGTGTATGTATGGGGTAGCATTTTGTATATTGGGAGCAGTGTGTTTGTGTGTGAGTGGCGCTGTGTGTGTATGGGGGGCAGTGTGTGTATTGGGGCTATGTGTTTAAGGGGGGGCAGTGTGTGTATTGGGGCAGTGAGTGTAAGGGGGGCTGTGTGTTTATGGGGGGCAGTGTGTGTGAGGAGGAGGCAGTGTGTGTAGGGGGCTATGTGTGTAAGTTGGGGCTGTGTGTGTAAGGGGGGCTGTGTGTGAAGGACTGTATATTTGTGTGTGGTGCAGTGTGTAGGGGGTTATAGTTTGTGTGTGTAAGGAGGGCTATGTGTGTAAGAGTGTATGGTGGGGCTGTGTGTGTAAGGGGGTGGCTGTGTGTGTAAGGGGGGCTGTGTATGTAAGGGGGGGCTGTGTGTGTGTAAGGGGGGGGCTGTGTATGTAAGGAGGGCAGTGTATGTAAGGGGGGTCTGTGTGTGTGTAAGGAGGGCTGTGTATGTTAGGGGGGGCTGTGTGTGTGTAAGGAGGGCTGTGTATGTAAGGGGGCGGCTGTGTGTGTGTAAGGAGGGCTGTGTATGTAAAGAGGGCTGTGTATGTAAGGAGGGCTGTGTATGTAAGGGGGGGCTGTGTGTGTGTAAGGAGGGCTGCGTGTGTGTAAGGAGGGCTGTGTATGTAGGGGGCCTGTGTGTATAAGGGGGCTGTGTATGTAAGGAGGGCTGTGTATGTAAGGGGGGCTGTGTATGTAAGGGGGGGCTGTGTGTGTAAGGGGGGGATGTGTGTGTAAGGGGGGCTGTGTGTGATGCAGTGTGTGAGGGGATAGGGGGGCAGATTAAAGATATATATATTTTTTTTTATTAAATAATTAAAAAGTTAATGTCCCCCCTCCCTTCTTACCTTTGCTGGGGGGGAGGGGGAGACATTGCTTTCTTCCAGTCCCTGGTGGTTCTAGTGGAGAGAGTGAACTCTAACCTGCAGCTCAGGGTAGAGTTCACTCTCGCGAGAACAGAGCGTTGCCATGGTAACCGCGGCAATGCTCCGTGCTTGCGAGAGAAGAACCCGGCAGAGCTGCAGGTAAGAGCTCCCCCGGGTTCTCTCTCTCTCTCTCTCTCCCTCCCCTGCCTGTCGTCCAGCAATCTGCCTGTGGGCCGGGGAGGGAGATCACTGATCTCCCCTCCGTTCTGTGATGGCAAACAGCAGGGCTAGTGCTTGGATAGCACCAGCCCTGCTTGGGCCAGCAGGGGAGAGCCTCGGGCAGCACTATTTTCTCGGGGGAGAGGAGGGGGGACAATTGCCCCGTTGCCCCCCCAGATCCGCCAATGGTCAGAATATGTGTCTGTGTGTTAGTATGTCTGTCTGTTGGTGTGTGTGTCTGTGTGAGTCAGTATATCTGTCAATGTGTGTCAGTATGTCTGTCAGTGTGTGTATCTGTGTGTCAATATGCCTGTCAGCGTGTGTGTGTGTGTGTGTCAGTATGTCTATCAGTGGGTGTCAGTATGTCTGTGAGTGTGTATGTGTGTGTCAGTATGCCTATCAGTGTGTGTGTGCATGTGTGTCAGTATGTTTGTCTCTGTGTCATTATGTCTTTCAGTGTGTGTTAGTATGTCTGTCAGTGTGTGTGTGTGTTAGTATGTCTGTTGGTGTGTGTGTCTGTGTGAGTCAGTATGTTTGTCAGTGTGTGTGTCAGTATGTCTGTCAATGTGTGTGTGTTAGTATGTGTCTGTTGGTGTGTGTCTGTGTGAGTCAGTATATCTGTCAATGTATCTCAGTATGTCTGTCAGTGTGTGTATCTGTGTGTCAATATGACTGTCAGTGTGTGTGTGTCAGTATGTCTATCAGTGTGTGTCAGTATGTCTGTCAGTGTGTGTGTGTGTGTGTGCGCGTGTATCAGTATGCCTGTCAGTATGTGTGTGTGTGTGTGTGTGTCAGTATGCCTGTCAGTGTGTGTGTGCATGTGTGTCAGCATTTCTGTATCTGTTTGTGTCAGCATGTCTTTCAGTGTGTGTTAGTATGTATGTCAGTGTGTGTGTCAGTGTGTCTGCCTGTTGATGTGTGTGTGTGTGTGTCTGTGTGTCAGTATGTCTGCTAATGTGTGTGTCTCTGTGAGTCAGTACATATGTGTGTTGGTTTATGTATCAGAATATGTGTCTGTGTGTGTGTCAGTATTTCTGTCAGTGTGTGACAGTATGTCTGTCAGTATATGTGTCTGAGTATCTGTATCTGTGTCAGTGTGTGTATCTGTATCTGTGTTTCTCCATGTTTTCAGTTTGTGTATCTGTATCTGCATGTGTGTCAATGTGTGTCAATGTGTGTATCTGTGTGTATTCTGTGTGTCTGTATTTGTGTCGGTGTGTGTATATGTGTCTGTATATCTGCATGTGTGTCAGTGTGTATCTGCATGTGTTTTAGAGTGTGTGTATCTGCATGTGTGTTTGTGTGGCTGTGTATGTGAATATGTGCATACGTCTCAGCATTTAAACACTAACACAACTCACAAATACACCCCTGCATTCAAACTTCAACACTACATACAAGCACACGCCTTCATTGAAACGTCAACACTACATACAAGCACACTCCTTCATTGAAACGTCAACACTACATACATGCACACTCCTTCATTGAAACGTCAACACTAAATACAAAAATAGCTCTGTGTTAAACACCAAAATATAAACACACCATTGCAATCAAAAATCAACAAGACTTATAAATGCATGCTTGCATTCAAACACCAACACCACATACAAGCATACTCCTACATTTACACAAACATACTACAAAAAAAAACACACATTACATTACATTCAAACACACAGACACTGCTCAGTGCATAATACAACCCTGCAATCATGGAAAATGTAGAGCCCCAGCAGTCAAAGCATTGTTGGAGCAGCACGGCAGATAGGTATCTACCTTTTGGCCACCCTTGCAATAAGTGGCCCAAAACATTCTTGCACCAGGGCTCTCTACTTTAGTTCCGCCACTGCATTGGGGTGTAGGGTATGCATGCCAGTGAGTTGGTTTGGAGAAGGGACCAGGGGGCCCAAGCTAACGCTTGCCCAGGGTCCATTCAATATTAAAGACGGCCCTGACCTAAAGACACAGCCTTAATATATGAGTCAGATGTAATCTTTGTGTAAATTGTGGTGAAGACAACTTAAGTATATACATCTAACACAAGTGCTGTGTATGGGATGCTGTTAGTCACTGCTTCAGTATATGTGAGTGATATAATCTGTGCATAAAGTGCTGTGAAAACACAGCCTCAATTTATCTGACTCATATAATCTTAGTATATGAACTGGTGTGGAGACATACTGTCATTGCATATAGCAGATGTTGTCTATGTATGTACTGTTTAAACAATGTCTCTGTGTTTGTGATTAATACATTATATGTTACTTTACAGACACAATATATGCACAGCCTCACACAGCCACAGTATATTTAGTATATGCAACTGGTATAAGATCTGTGTATCGGCTGTAAAGAAATATAGCCCAGTTCTGCCAAAGCAAATTGCAAATTGTATACAGTTGCAAGAAAAAGTATGTGAACCCTTTGGAATGATGTGGATTTCTGCACAAATTGGTCATAAAATCTGATCTGATCATCATCTAAGTCACAACAATAGACAATCACAGTCTGCTTAAACTAATAACACACAAAGAATGAAATGTTGCCATGTTTCTATTGAACACACCACCTGCACTGTGAATGTTTACGTGGTGTGTTCAATAAAAACATGGCAACATTTCATTCTTTGTGTGTTATTAGTTTAAGCAGACTGTGATTGTCTATTGTTGTGACTTAGATGATGATCAGATCACATTTTATGACCAATTTGTGCAGAAATCCATATCATTCCAAAGGGTTCACATACTTTTTGTTACAACTGTATTCTCTCCTTCTTTTTTTACTAAATGGAGAAGATTAGAGAAACATGCTGCTTTTTGTCTTTGCATTAGATTATTCCACTGACGTGGTTCAGGATAACGAATTAACCAGTTTAGATGGACTCAGGGCCGGACTGGAAAAAAACTTGCCCTGGGCTTTTTTTAATCACAGTGGCCCACTAAGAAGGGGGCGGGGCAGAGAGGATGTGTTTTGTCATCACCAATGACAAGCACGCCCCCTATCAAAGTGAGCATGTTGATTCAATGCTCAGACCATGCGCACAGCTCTGCTGAAGATCTCTAGCATGAGAAAAATGTATGTATACCTGTATTTGTTCTGCATAGTGCAAGCAAATTTAATAGCATGCTCACACTCTGTTTCCTTGCAACTTGTCTCTATAAATGTGATACCAGGAGACAATAGGGCCAGGAAAGAGTATTGTGCATGTGTTTGGAGCCTGCTTGTGGGATTGCGTGTGTGTAGAGTGAGCTGATTGTGGTGTGGTATTGTGTAAAAAGATCGGTTTTAGTCGTGTAGTGTAATGTGGCTAGGTACTGTGCAGAGTGTGTGTATAGGGGATGCAGTATATGTGTGAGGGGTGCAGTGTTTGTGTGAGGGGTGCTGTAGTATGTAGTTTGGAGGTATTGTGTGTGTGTGTGAGGGTGTAGTGGATGTGTGTGAGTGGTGTAGTGTGCATATGAAAGGTGCAATATGTGTGTATGTGAGGGGTGCAGTGTGTGTGTGTGTGTGTGTGGTAAAGTGTGTGATGGGTGAAATATGTATGTGTGAGGGTGCTGTGTGTGTGTGAGAATGTTGTGTGTGAGGCACTATATCCCCCCTCCCTTCTTACATTTAGCCTGGGAGGGGGCACCGTGTTGCCATCCCTGGTGGTGCTAGTGGTGAGTGAACTTTAGCCTGTGGGGCTAGCGTTCACTTTTGCAAGATTGGGGGCGTTGCATAGCGAGAGGAACCCAGCAGATAGAGCTCCTCCTCTCCCTCCCCAGCCGCATGTCTGTGCAAGTGGGCTGGTGAAGGAGATCTTTGATCTCCCCACTTGCCCGTCATGGAATACTGCAGGGCTGGCACTCTGTGCCCAGTGTGCCCGATCGCCAGTCCGGGCCTGGATGGGCTGCAGGGGTTACCTATCTGGGTTCCCCTCCCACTGGCAGAGCTCCTCCATGGCGGAACTCCTCAATCTTGATGATCTCAGCCAATCCAATCCTATGGACTTTTGTATTCTGATGGCAACCCTGTCTAACTTTGCTGCATTCTTGCACAGAAGTTTGCTTTGCGCATATTTTTTCCAGTTTCTACAGTTTCCAGTCTTTTGTAATATGACAGATTTAAACTCTAGTTTAAATGACAATTAATGGATTTCAACTCTTACTATATATTATTCATATGTCTTACCTATGCCAAGCCTTTCATTCACACCCAAACTGCAATTAGAGTTATATATATAAATGACATTCATCCCATAGGACACAATCTAATTGTACGATTAATAGCTTTCGTGTTACACAATATATTGTTAGCATAATCCAACCCCTTAATCACATAATGCAATATGACAACTCAATCCCTCTCCTGCAATCCCTAATGAGTGTCATCCAAAGAATAGTCATCTTTGCCTTTTCATCGTATCCCACTTTTAAGAATATCACAGCATCGTTTATGAATTCATGTTCATGTGTTTTATCAAAAGACGTGAGATTCAGGATGGGCTGCCAGTGACACGGATTCTGTTATAGTATTCTTTGTGTTTAAAATAAAAGGCCTTGATTTGAAAATGTGTAAAAACTGAAGAGAGCCAAGCTGTGGGTTGAGGAGCTTGACCCAGCGCCTATGTCACATAGATCAGGGCTAATTCTTACAGAAAAAAGGAATAGCCCTCATCCGAAATGAGGGGGCATGTAGTTACATAAAAGAACAATGGAAGAGAAACAAGAGGAACTTTGTCTATGCATCCGATAAATGAATGGACAAGAACGCAGCCCAAGTCCAGACAATGAGAACATTCATAGATCCCTCTCAGTGTACACACATCCCGCACTGTGTTTGTGGACGGAACGCCCAAGTTCAGCAAAGGAGCCAGCTTGCTATACACATTTCCTTAATTGTGTTCATAGCTTTGCTGCAGAGCACTGAAGAATCCGATGTGAACTTCACAAATTAGACACACAGACAGCAATTTATCTCCCTTGATCCCCAGCCCTTGGGCTCAAGTTGACCAATGTGTTTGAAGTGACCAAATATTGCAAGACAAGAATTGACCCGTTGAGGTATCTTGCTGTATCGAGCATGTGTTTCAAGTCTACTTCATGTACTATTAGTTTCAACGGTTTATTCCCTTGGCATTAGGGATTTATTGTATGCAGTCGGCCTTTGTCCCCAGACACAAATATATATTAAAATAATTTTAAATATATATATTATTATGTACTTATTAAATATATAATATATAAATATAGTCTTGCTTCACCACACCTCCTTTTTTCCTTAAATTGCTCACTTGATCTGTGAGTAAAATCAGCATTTAGTGACTATCCCTTAGCCATCAAACATCTTATTGACAGCAATCTATTGTATTGTTGCCATAGGTGGAATTCAGAATCACATCCTGAAACTAACATGCTCGGCCATTTCTCGGCTTGTTTGGTTAGTGATTCAGGTACATTTTGCATCAGGAATTCAACTGATCATCCAATCAGCAAAATGCAGACCAACATAAAATTATTATTATTATTATTTTATTATTTATATAGCGCCATCACATTCCGTAGCGCTGTACATTGGGATTCAGAAAAAATCAAATCTTCAAGTCTATTATTTAATATTCACTCATTTTGAACTGTTTATTTCATCTAATTGTACAAGTAGTGGCGTATTCCTATTATTTCACTTATAACTAATATTAGGTACTGCTTATATATCATAAAAATATAGTCTTGGATGCAAGCAAGCTTATTCATGAAGGGGCCTCCACACTTTCTCTATAATAAGATAACTTAGCCGCCATATTTATGCATGCTGGGAGGACATTTAACCAATAATATCCCAGCATTTTTTTGGGATATCTTTGGCATTACTGTGGTTTCACACACATAATTATACATTTACTGCATTGTCATTTAATCCAGTGTTAGCGTATTATAAATACTTCTATCCTCAATCACCTGACTTTAGAACAAAAGGATGCCAATTTAAGGTAGGGACAACAATTCCCAAGCTGGCTATTCATCACGGGTGATTCAGTTGCAAAGACACCAATTTTAAATGTCTTACACTGCGATTCAGGTATAGGTAATACAAATGTCCAGCTTATCATACAGGATACACAAAGTACTTACTAGAATGAGACATTCACAGTCTAACTGCTAGATATTTTTGTTTTTTTTTCTCAGTGTCCCAGATTCCAAATAGGTTCCTCTAGAGTCAGGCACTTGTTTTATTTTTGTCAGTTGTAAACATTTCCCTGCCAAAGGGGGTGCTGAGCTGTGCACATTCTGCCTATGGCAATGAAAATGTATTTTCCTCCAACAAGAGTATCCTAGTGAGATAGTGGTTAGAGCTGCAATATTATCTGTGTATGCGCAATAAGTTTATTTTTCAAATCTCTGCTTATTTCCTCATTACTTGTGAGCTCCATGAATTATGTATTTGTCCATCTGTATTAGCCCAGCCAACTTTGCATGGCAATATTAGGATGACAGAGCTGGACTTACAGTGCTCTCAGAACATCATTGCACCCTAAGTTGGACAGGTTAATGCACAGGTTAATTTATGAAATTTATGAAGGCTTTTGGTGCTGATACAATCACATTTTGTGTTGTAATCAATCAGAAATTATTTGATATAAATCAAGGGGACAGCATTAGAAAACTCATCTCCACTACAATGACCATTAGTAGTTATGGTTAGAGTGCCCTTTAATAGCTTCATGTCTTTCTCACACCTACTGTAACATTAACTAGGAGCAAGCGTGAGAGAGAACGCACCTATGGACATTAACAACAAGCACCTAGATACGGTGAAGGATAGTTGGTCTGGTGGGTTGGAGAGAGTTTTTTAATGATGACGACGGTGACTGTTGAAGAGAGGGGGTAATGGAGGAAAACCGGTTTTGGGAATAGCGTGCTAATTTAAGAAAGGTTCTGAAAAAGAGTGTAATTTCAGGGGTAATTTCAGGAGAATTGATGGAGGAAGTAGATTAATGGATGATTAGCTGGCCTATGGTGTAATAGGGGCTGGTGATAGAGGATCTGATAAGGCAATGTAGGTTACTGATGGCGTATAAGAGCAAAAAGGTGAATATGGCGATGGGGGAGAGAGTTTTTGTTGGAAACATAAGGGTGATGGAATAGATGAGTTAATGAGGGATACTGGAGCTGAAAGAGAATTGTATTGGACAGTTAGAATGGAACAATTTCCAGGGCTGCTTTTTATTCCTAGTTCGACCCTTCTTCCCCCTTATGTAAAACAACTGGTTGAGTTGACCTGTGTAGGTAGGTCATTCAATTTAGAACTGCTGATGTATTGAAAATAATTATTTTAAAAATGGAAGATGAAGAGACATTGTCCCCCACACAAGGAAATATCTTATGCTGTGGTGGAAATATCATTAGGATGCAAGACACAGACGGCTGTTTAGACTGGGTAGTGATGGTTGGATCACAAGATTGGTGGTATGGTGTAGCTTAGAAATATTACATGCATGATATGTTCAAGGACACTCCAAGTACCATAACAACGTATGATGCTTGTATTGCTATTGCTCAAAACGTTCCCTGTCTCCCTGCTCGCTGTGTCGTCAACCTCCCGTGATCATTGTGGTGGTGAGCACTCACTGATTTGCTGAACATCTCTACAGAAATACATAGAAACATCAGGATTGGCTGAGCCACTTCCTTTTTTTGTAAGAGCTCATCGCAGATGCTACAAAGATTGGGAATTTGAAGCAAATGCAGGAATATTTCACCTTATTTTTTCCATTATTTTAAATGGAAATGCATTCTACATTATGCATTAAAATTAATGTTTTCTTTCCAGTCTGAAGTGTTCCTGTAAAGATTATACCATTCTTTAATGATTATCAGCTCACAGGGGATAAAACATACTTTACCTTTTGCTTGTTTATTTATTTTTTATTACATTTCCATTTGACATTTACAATAGGTTTAAAGCAATGAACCATTTGTGTTTCAAAGTAGAATTAACGTGAAAGCAAATAAAACACAACAGGCCATTTAATGTGTTAGCACAAATAAATATATTCACTAACCTGTAATTCATGTTTAGTACAAATGTGTCCTTAGTCTCACGTTGTACTGTAGTTAGAGGAAAAGTCTGATTGTGTAGCAGTGTTACCCACTTAAACTATGGATCATTGTTTGTACTACTTAACAATGCACTCCCCACACCTTAAAACTAACAAATAACCAGTGACTTTCTGTACAATTTAGGCAACGTTAATTTTTCTTGATCTACGTCAACGTAACATTGTCTTTCTTAAATAATTCTACATAGTCCATCAGCATATTGACATATTGATAGAACAATTTAATAACTGTGAGCGTCCACTACTTACCTGTGAATTGTTTCTCACCAGAACCTTGACATCCATCTTCATCATCGCACTCTCCACTGGGATCTGAGTCTTCTGGTCTCTCACTCCCTCCACTGCCCTCTCCAATTCGCCATCTTTCTGGCCTGATCCGCTTTTCATTTCCTATCTGTAAGGTCACAAACACAGTGTTTTTTTTTTTTTAATATTTGAACACAGAAATGGACTTTCACCTGCAGCTTTTTATGCATGTCAGCATCCACGTGATTTGGGAACCATATTATTAACATTATAACACATTTAGACAAATTTTATAAAACAAGCAGATTGGATGATTCTTAAAACATCTGCATTACAGAAACCCAATAAAGCTATGTGATTCCAGGACAAGGGCAGCCAATTCCATTGGCTTTTGTACAGCTATTTGTAGATGTTACCCAAGAACCACTGCCTTAAAAGAGTGAACTTCCCACCCCCACCTCTATAGAGGACAAGAGGATGACATGACTAATGACATTTCCATGGCCAAAGATTCCGAAGCGTCTTGCCCCCAACAGATAGTTTATCTTATCCACTCATGTAAAAATCACTACCACCAATCCCTTTCCAAGTATTCAGGTAGGACTTTTGGACTTCACTTTTAAGTAGAGGATGCTTGGCCTAAAGCCTGCAGAGTGATGCATACCCTCTACCCCTTCCTTTAAAACATGAACAGTGGAGAGTACTGTAAGAGTGGGACAGAGGATACCCAATGCTCTTGCCCTTAGAGGAATAGGACCAGGGGATGCCCAGTACTCTTGTCACAGTTTGGTCATAGAGGCTCGGAATCCCCAAATCCTTAACCAACAATCCTGAATATTAACTCTTACTACCCCCTTAACTCTACAAAGCATTGGTAAATGAAAAAAAAAATGGAAAAGAACATAATTTTATATTTAAAAGTCTTACAATAAAATCTGCATTCTTCATTTTTCCTATCGTCTCTCTTCAGCCATAAAAAAACATGACCAAAGAAAAGTTATAACCTGCCACTTGCTAATAAAAAAAAGCATTATAAAGAGTCCCTGCAATTTGAAGAGCGTTCTTTGTGGAGGGTTCCAGACAATTGGTTTAAGGGCATGAACATTGTTTTATTTTTGAGCAGTATATTTTTGCAATCAGGCGGTAGCCTGTGACTTTTTTTTTTAGCATGTAGCAGGTTATGAAGTAGTGTTTTGGCCATGTTTTATGGTTGGAAAACAAAGATAATCGAAGATGCACGTAATTATGAAATAATTTGTTCACAAGGTTTTTTTTTTAATGTATTTTTGGCTATGTGATCACCTTCCCTCTCGAATATTTATTAGAATTTGGATCATCATATAAGGTAAACTTAAGGAGAGGATATAGTGGCTAGGGATTAAGGGTATAATTTCTGGCATTTAAAGAACCTATAATAATAATAGTAATAATAATATATAATTATATCATTTTAATAATAGGTAAAAAGCATTTGATTAATACTGTGAATACAAGACAGTATTTAAATTCACTTTTTACTTAATTTGTCGACTAAAATTGTACTGCATTATGAAAATATGCGTAGTTAGTAAACAGTCACTAAAATAGATTATTTGCTTCATAGTGTCAATAATCTATATGAATTTATTAGCACTGCAAAGTTTGCAGGAAAACATATTTCTACTTTGTCTGATACCGTCTCTGGAAATGTGTTAGTGCTCAGGAAATGTGGGTAAATCTATTAAATAAGCATGCCTGTACGTTTGGCCAAAGTCCAGAGCCCATACATTTATCTCCATAAATGGACTAAAATTGATCTTGGTAAAAAAATACTTGAATGTTTTTTTTTCCCAAATGTAATTAAAATTTCATATTGCTGTTTTTTTCTTTTCTTGTAGTTGTTTGAAAAATTCATGAAAAAAGCAGCAAGAATTAGATAGTGACCACAAACAATAACAGCCATTGCTTAGACAAGCCATGGGAAACGGCAAAAAGAGGGCTGATTGTGCAAATGGATTACGGGACGAATTAAGCATTTTCCATTATATCCTTGTCAAAAAAATCCCACATGGGCATCATTTGAAATGTTTTGTAAAAATCAAAAGTCATCGACCTTTAGCTTGTTGCATCATACAGGATGCAGATCCTGTGATTTTTGCGTCAGATAAATGACGTGCATTGTATGTTGGTTTCACACGGCAGATAAAAAAAAATTTGACTTCATATCTGAAGCTCAATTTATCCTTTGTATGTGACAAATAATTCTATGTTAATATTGCTCTCTAATCTTTCCTAGTGATAAACAATGATTTTTTTTCTTTTTTGCTTATCTACAGAACTTAACATAAAAAGTAGATTTTTCTTCATCAAGAACTGTCCAATTTGGGTAGTGATTGCTCAGAGGTTAGGTCACGCAACACAAGCGAGAAAGCTTTTCATAAACGCAACAGAGAATTATTATGCTCAAACAATGCACATTACAGCATCATCTCAGCCAACACCAAGCTGGGGAGCTGGGAGTATCACAAGGGCCACCCATATGAAAAAAAATAACAGAGAAAGAAACAAAATTAATTCTAGATGACTCTGTATTCACAATGTCATACTTATCATAAAATATGGGACGAAGTTGTCGCTGTATTATTTCAGACAATCATTAATATATTATTTTACATTTTAAAGTAATCAATAGCATTAGCAAAGAAATGTAATTGTGATTTATGTGCCAGAGGAATGTGTGGTTTTACCATGATAAACATAAAAAATGCCCCGTTTCAGATCCTGTCCCACTGTCCTGATTTTATTCCCTGGTGACCTGCCTTTGTGGACACCAGGGAGTTGCCACCAGCAAGCATAGTTTGAGCGCATCATTAGACGACCTTGCACAATGCTTAGGGAATTAGGATCCCACAGATAGAACTGAAACGGTGCTCCATGCATGGTCAGTCTTTGGCAGGCTGACATATGTATTCTACTTGTCCCTTTTCCGGGTGGGTTCACCCCCTTTGCCCAGAGCCAATGATGCGTCCTCTCAATAGCCTCCCACTTCACAAGTTGCTAAAGTTGGGAGGTAGACAGAAGTACATATTTAAGCAAACCCTGGTTCCCTACATGTTAGGCCTACAACTCCTATAATTCTTTTAGTGTAACAGATGGCCACAGAATCATGAGACGTAATGCTCAGCAACATCTACGGGGGCAGATGTTGAGATATCTGTTTAACAGGTTTTACAGATTCTCACATTTTATGGATTACTGAGATATGCTGTGCATTGTATGGCTGTTACACTCCGTAGTCAGGTTAAGACATACTACATATACAACATATACAACTTTCAGTTTTACTAGTTAACCCCTAGAGGGAAAGAATAGAAAATCTGCTCATATTTGGGTTTGACCAAATTAAAGCTTCTGTGCTACTTGAAATATGTTGTAGCAGAGCCTGGCTAACACAATAAAACATTACAACCACATGTGCTGGCATGTCACCTGCACTGGCAAACAGCAGACAACAAAGGGGGGTGCTATTGTTCTACTATAGGGGACGTCAAAGGTAAAGAACAAATGAAAACTGGCAAGACATCAAGCGTACCTTTTAACAATGGGATTTATGGATGTGGGGTTGGTGGGTGAGCGGGCTGGGGGCGGCAGCTACAATGAATGACCCAACATGAGAAAGGGGTAGGCTTGCGCATAATGTAGGCAGGTCAACCCAAAAGAGAGGCACGTCAGTGTGCTGGTTCGGCAAAAAACAAACTAGGATGGCAAAATAGGACTTTGATTTTGGGGCAGTCCTGCCAGATCCACAACAGATGAAAGGTATATATCATGGTTGTTGTAGTTCTAAGAAGCTTGTTAAAACATCTAAAAAAATTTATGAAGGGACAAGAGCTCCCTCCTATCACACGATATGGTTATTTAAGGTGTGAAGAGACAGTATATACTGTCATTTAGTTATGAACTTACACTCCTTTCCCAAAGAACAACCAGACCCCAATTAAATTGTAGGGGATGAAATACAGGTGGAAGAAAAACTGGGTGGACGACACAGTGGTAAGTGCAAAGTTAAACTTCCCTTTCAAACTCTTAGAGGCACATGGGGGGACCTTAATGGGTAGATTAAAACTACTGCATTAGGAATACATGTCCTTTTATGTACATGGTTAGACCATACGTGTAAATGTTGCATATTGTTTATATTTAGATAAGATGTCTTGATTTTCCATTTGTGAGCAAAAGAGGTTATTCAGTGCAAACTATTTCTGTACATAAATGTCTGTCAATAACTGTAAAAAACATTTAACAAAACATGATTTATATAAAACCAGATATGAGATCTGTACCTATAGTGTCTGTAAGGAGTAAACTAGAATGGCAAATGCACTAACTCTATAGTAATATAAAAAAAACAACAACATTATTAATTAAAAACTCATTATCATGCTTTTATATAAAGATAAAGTCATGCGGGGGAATATTGTCCAGGTTTGGCTGAAGGTCCTTTTTCTACTCTGCTAAGCCTTAAGCGTTCTCACAAATAGCTTTAATGTGGACAAACGTCCTCGGATTGTTTCTACAAAATGTCATCATGGATACATTGAAACCAAAATGACAGGACAATGCAGCAACCGGTCTTTTTGCTCCATATTTGAAATTCATGCCTTCCTTTACCTTGGATTATATATCATCAGTTAGAAAAGCTATGGATTACAGAGAATATATAACATACAGAATATTTATATCAATCGTTGGTCTCAACATGGCTGCAGTTGAATTATGCTCAATAATTCTCTCTGTGCATTTGGATCATAGTTAGGTTTGCTTGGAGCCATTGTCATGTGAAGACATAATCAACTAAAAGGTCAGATTAGTGGCTAGTGACAGAAGCTTGTGGCTAAATAATGAATGATTGGCTAGAATGTATATGCCCCCAGTCTTTGTAATATTGGAAAGCAGCATCTTACAAGCCAAGTTTCCAGCTGGTCGCAGTCCACCACCTCTTGAAGGGCACCATTCCGACAAGCTCCATATCTCCTCACATTCTATAACCTGTAACCTCGCTTTAAATTGCCTGTGAACACAAGGCCAAGCCCAACCTCCGGCACCAGTGCAACAATTACCTTTTTCATTTACAGGAGGAAGAGCGGCTGTTTCGCTCCACTGAGTGTTAATTCTCCACTGTGCTCCTGAAATAATTATTTGCGTTTTACTATCGTGTTACTGATCGTTTTATGTCAGGATCAAATGTCTCATATGTATGAAACCGACAGCATCGATGCAGCACAATAACTGCACGGAAAAAGAGATATGGGGATGACGTCGTCCACAAAGGAAGACTCCTCAGAAATCTAAGCCTTGTTTTTTGTATTTATGTTTTATGGCAACTGTTTGTTACAGAATAAGTCTGTCACATCTAATTCAGAGTCTCACTGCTCCTGGCCTTTAAAACTGCTGAGCTTGAACTGAATACTCTACTTTCTTCATTTAATGGCTCAATTGCCATGTATTTGGGGATTAACCCTTGGACAGCACAGAGAAGAACGATCTTCTCTCTGAACGTACATGGTATAATAAACCCTTTGTTCATCTGCCAACAAAACAATGTTAAAAAAAAAAAAAAAATAGAAAAATAAATGGTTATTTACATTTACAGAATGTTGTTGTAAAGGGGGAGAGTGAAAGTTTATTTTATTTTATAGAAACCCATTCTTTTCCAGCATGCAGACGATGAAGCATAAAATATAGGGTTTTCATTCTTCAGCTTATCCCTGCTAAATAACGCTCACCGTATAACTATGCTGAACACGTGGTCACTCTCTGGCAATGATGGCTGACTCTGGTGATCAAGATTTGTTCTCATTATACGTTTCTGTAGTCACTGGATCCCTAGGAGGTTTAGTTAGAATCCCTGAGTTTATCTGGTCGCTAATGCAGAATAGGGCATGACTGTGTAACTTGCTAATAAATTGGAGATGTAGGATATGCCTAGTTCTTTCCACCTTTATAGATGAAAGCCTGGTGCAAAAAATGCCAGGGAATCTAAGGGTGCTTGAATAGGTAGGCAGGGGTGAATTCCATACTCTGACACATACTGATCCCATTCTAAAAAAAGCAATCAGTGGTGGGGGGAAAGTAGCACTTGTGTTTCCATGAGCCCCTGGGGGACCAAAGATAACTTGAAAGGTAATTGAGATATAATGTTTGTGACTCCATTGTCACCCATTGAGGACCTCCTTCAGGAGCATGCATTTTTAATGCTTCAGACCACACCACTGCTCTGGGACATTCCCCAATACTGGGAGCACCCAGACCCCATCATTCTGGATAGATGCCTGTTTTTAAGTAGTAAATGGAAATGCTTTCTGCATGTTGTCTTATTGCCAGATACAGAAAAAAGAAAGAGGCACTATATAATATCCCAAGCAAAAACCACAAAACAGTGCCAAAACACCCAGAAGTGTACCTCACATACACCAATACAATATAAACAAAGGGGTAAGTCTATACTGTATCAAATACTAGTATAGACTAAAGGGGTTGCACAACAAACATGAACCATACAACCTGTATACACTATAACACAGTTCTTCAAAGAATCTAAAACATGAAAAAAATCACATAATAGTGAAGTATGTACAGGAATATATGATTCAGTCCCGTAGATAGAGAACTTACAAGACCGTGCTGTAGATCTGCGCTTGTCTCCCTTCCATAGGGTATTAAAGTAGCGTATTCTTTCTCAGTGGGCTTGTGTGTATGGACCAAAAAGGCGTAGATTCAGAACACCCAATCCTCAAATAAAAAGAGGTATATAGAGCAGTATTGCAAACAAAGATAGATTTATTAATACAAATTGCACTTACATCAAGTGAAGATTATAGCAGCATATCACCACTCACAAGTGGTACCGAGGAAAAGAAGTCCCTCTGTGATAGTATAAAAATATAAAAAGTAATTATATACTAAAAACAATAAAATAACAAAAAAGAAGAAAAAAGGTATTCCTGATCAATATCCAACGCGTTTCGTCTATGTAGACTTCTTCAGGGATAAGAAAGTGTCCAGAAAGTCCTTCTTTTATAAGGCTCCAAAAAGATCTTGAAATTGCCGCGGAAAAACCTTTACTTCCGGGTTTCGGTCTTGCCTCATTCTGATTGGTTGAACAAAATAACCCTCTCGAACGGATGTAGAACCAGATCTCACTTCCGCGTTCCATACTGGAACGCAAAACGTCCATAACACATGATACAATATCCTAAGCAGTACTTCCGCGTTCCACCGTGGAACGCACGGAAGACCCGACAGCCGATCGGCTGTAAGGAGAACCGGGCGTCCCAAGCTGGAAAGCTGTCTCTAAACTTTACCCAACACAATATAGTATTAAAAATGAAAAATATAAAATATAAAAAATAATCTGCAAAGAAATATGTACTGCAAAGAAATATAAAGAAATATAATGAATGTAAAAATAAAAATAAAAATAAAAATAATAATAAAATTAAATTAAATTAAATTAAAATAAAAGTATATATATATATATATATATATAGGTATCATGGATACCAAAAGAGTTGTATATGGAGAGATCACAATTTGAGGAAGTCCCAATTAAGGCAACACTATCTATATGTAAAAAAAGGTCATAAATACAACATATCATCCCCACAAAAAGATATAAGGAAAAAAGGGGGGTTTTTTCATATACCACCCTTACATAAAAATATATATACAATACCCAAGAAAGATGTATATGGGCATACACATACATGCATGCACGCACATCTATACATACATACATATATGCGCATGCACACACATCTTCATATCAAGAAAAATATACATATACATACACACAATAACCACCAAAAAAATGTGGATATCCCAAAAAATATATATATATATATATATATATATATATATATATATGTATAAATATAACCACACATCAAAAGACACTCACATAGATATAATACTGTACACGAAAAAAGGGGGACTTCTTTATCATGAAATGAATTCGTAATGATTAAAGGAGCCCTCCCAAATCTATATCTTGGTTAAGACCTCTCTTCAAAGTGTTTAATGTATAGATCCAAAAAGCCTCCTTTTTAGCTAAATCGTTAATTCTACTTCCTCCTCTCCAATGTGGAGTTACCTGGTCTATACCAATGGCCATAAAGGTAGACCAATTAAACATGTTACAGGAATTACAGTGATTTGGAACACTGTGCTCTACCTTATGTGTCCTAATATTATTGAAATGTTCACGGAGTCTAGTATGCAGGGTTCTGGTAGTTCTTCCTACGTATTGAGATCCACATCCACATTGTAAAAGATAAATCACATATGTGGATGTACAATGTATAAATTTCTTTATATTATATATCTGATTGGTATAAGATCCCACAAAAGATGTAGATTTCCTTTTTTGATGGGTACATGTAGAACATGCTCCACATTTATGGAAACCTGGAGTTTTTTTGAGTTGTAAAAAATTCTTTGGATTTGGACTTTTTATCAATTTAGGTAATAGACTAGGTGCCAATTGGTTTTTAAGATTATCTGCCTTTCTGTATATAACTATAGGCTTTTCTGGGATTTTTTCTCCTAAGACATCATCTTTTTTCAAGATGGCCCAGTGCTTTTTAAGAATTTTTTCTATTTTTTTAGCTTCAGAACTATATTTAGTAATAAAGGCAAACTCCATATGGCTATTTTTAGTTCTATTTTTGTGTTTTGGGTTTTTTTCCATCAAGAATTCCGTACGTTCTCTATTTTTTATTTTTATAATATCTCCTTGTATTTGATCTATATTATATCCTTTTTCCACATATCTATTCTGTATTAGTTTTGATTGTTCTTCGAACATTTGGACATTAGAGCAATTTCTTCTCATTCGAGTTATTTGGCCTTTCGGAACATTGTTGAGCCATACTGGATGATGTAAGCTAGTCTTTTTAATTGCTGTATTACAATCAGTTTTTTTAAAGAAAGTTTTGGTGTTAAGAATCTCATTTTCTACATACAGAGTTAGATCCAAAAAAATCTATAGTTGTCGGATGGATATTGGAAGTAAAGTTTAAATTATATTCATTGGAGTTAATGATTTCAATAAATCTCTCTAGACTCTGAACATCTCCCTCCCAAATAATAAGTACATCATCAATGTAGCGTCGCCATAGGACGAGGTTCCCCCCTGTATATGGTCCCAACCGGATGCATGAAGCCTCCCAGTGGGATACATATAAGTTAGCAAAACTGGGGGCGAACCTCGTTCCCATGGCGACGCCACACCGCTGCAAGTAAAAAGCAGAATCAAACCAAAAGAAGTTTTTTTCCAGAACAAACTGGATACAAGACACCAAAAAATCAATCTGTTGTGTACTTAAAGTCTGTTGTAGGACTAAAACGTCCCTGATAACCTCCAAACCCTTTCCATGCGGGATATTGGAGTACAGGGAGGTAACGTCCACGGTAGCTAATATATAGGATGGTTTCCAAATGAATGATTGTAAAATTTGAAGAATATGAGTGGTATCTTTTACAAAAGAAGGACACAGGGATACATAAGGTTTTAGAAAAAAATCCACATATTCGGAAAGATTACAGGATAGTGAGTTGATCCCACTAATAATTGGTCGACCTGGGGGGGTCGTTAAACTTTTGTGGATTTTGGGAAGGAAATAAAAAATTGCTATTTTACAAGTGGGATTGAAAATATACTGAAATTCCTTTGATGAAATAATAACTTGATCTAAACCTTTCTGGAGTAAAGATCTAAGGTCTTCCAGAAAAGGTTTAGTAGGATCTCTTTCAAGTTTTTTATAAGTGGACTCATCTTCCAAAATTCGATAGGCCTCTTGCATATAATATTCCCGACTCATGATGACAGTTCCTCCCCCCTTGTCAGCCTCTTTAATAACCAAATTATGATTCTTTTTAAGCTTATTTAAAGCTTGTCTTTCTTTATTGGTTAAATTATGTTTAGAATCTTTATGTTTTCGCTGAATTTGGTCAAGATCATTTTGGACCAAATCATTAAACACTTCTAAAAACTTTCCTTTTTCGTGAGATGGATAAAAATTAGACCTTCCTTTTAAAGATGAAAATACATTAGGATAGGCTTCTAACGGCCGTTCTGCTATATCTATTGTGTCTCTTTGTTCTAACTGAATATTATCTTTGCGTTTTTCAAAGAAACGTTTTATTGTTAATTTTTTAAGAAATTTCTGATTGTCAAGGAAAAGGTCAAAAGATTTTATTCCTGCAGTCGGTGCAAATTTTAAACCTTTGTTTAATAAAGTTAATTCCTGTGTGGTTAGTTCTATACCTGATATATTAAAAATACCTGATGGATCTTTTATTGTTGTGAGTGTAGAGTTATTGAAAGTAGTGGGTCGTCTAGTTCCTCTAGTTCTGTATGCGGTCTTTTCTTTTTTGGGGAGCTTAAGGCCTGAAATCTGTTCTTGACATTTAGAGTATTTTCTCTTCTTGGGTATTGCCCCCTGTCTAAAAAAACCGGAGATAGGCCTTTTGATGAATTATGAGGTTCCTGACATATTTCTGTGTCATTTCTTTGTATTAATCTATTCTCGTTGGTTTTAAGTTTATTCCAATTAGTACCTAAACCTCTTTGTCCTCGAGGTTCAGAATCAGAATGTGGAATGATTTTTTGCACATAACTATTTGGTTCTCTTTTCTCTCTTTTGTTTCTTGACCAATTTCTAATTTTGCCTTCTTTGTAATCTATTTGATCCCGTTTAAATTTACCTGCTTTAGTATTCGATATCCTATCATCTACTGTTTTGATTTTTTCTTTTAGGATTTTATAATTATCCTCCACAACTCTGGTGTCTTTGTGTAAGACAATATCTCTTTCCAGAGTCTGGATCTCTTCCTCTATGATTTTTAATGATCTTTTTTGAAAATCAATCAGGCTTTGGATATATTTTTTCGAACATTCATCACTAGCCTTAAACCATTCATCTATTAGCATTTTATCTTCCAGGCCATAAGCAGGTGTTTTTAGTATTCTAAGGCCTCTGGGGACGATATTAGATGCTAAATATTGTTCTAGGGAGGTTATCTCCCACCATTTTTTAGTCTCTTTTTCTAATAAAAATTCCAATTTTTCAAAACTCTTAGAGAGAGAATTATCTATGGAAACAGTTTTTTGATGGAATAATAAATTGATTCTTTTGTTACGTTCTTGTCGCATTTCATGATAAACATTATTGGATGCCATGTGGGTATATAGTACCAAGTGAGGGATAAATCAATAAACAGAAAAAAGAAAGAGGCACTATATAATATCCCAAGCAAAAACCACAAAACAGTGCCAAAACACCCAGAAGTGTACCTCACATACACCAATACAATATAAACAAAGGGGTAAGTCTATACTGTATCAAATACTAGTATAGACTAAAGGGGTGGCACAACAAACATGAACCATACAACCTGTATACACTATAACACAGTTCTTCAAAGAATCTAAAACATGAAAAAAAATCACATAATAGTGAAGTATGTACAGGAATATATGATTCAGTCCCGTAGATAGAGAACTTACAAGACCGTGCTGTAGATCTGCGCTTGTCTCCCTTCCATAGGGTATTAAAGTAGCGTATTCTTTCTCAGTGGGCTTGTGTGTATGGACCAAAAAGGCGTAGATTCAGAACACCCAATCCTCAAATAAAAAGAGGTATATAGAGCAGTATTGCAAACAAAGATAGATTTATTAATACAAATTGCACTTACATCAAGTGAAGATTATAGCAGCATATCACCACTCACAAGTGGTACCGAGGAAAAGAAGTCCCTCTGTGATAGTATAAAAATATAAAAAGTAATTATATACTAAAAACAATAAAATAACAAAAAAGAAGAAAAAAGGTATTCCTGATCAATATCCAACGCGTTTCGTCTATGTAGACTTCTTCAGGGATAAGAAAGTGTCCAGAAAGTCCTTCTTTTATAAGGCTCCAAAAAGATCTTGAAATTGCCGCGGAAAAACCTTTACTTCCGGGTTTCAGTCTTGCCTCATTCTGATTGGTTGAACAAAATAACCCTCTCGAACGGATGTAGAACCAGATCTCACTTCCGCGTTCCATACTGGAACGCAAAACGTCCATAACACATGATACAATATCCTAAGCAGTACTTCCGCGTTCCACCGTGGAACGCACGGAAGACCCGACAGCCGATCGGCTGTAAGGA